GTGCCTGCTCGCCTCGAATCAGGGACCCCTTCAGCCCGCGTCTACCAAAGACGCTTTTAGGCTACTGATACTGTTTCGCGCGCGCTGCCATAGGGCATCGCCACTTGAAGGCAGAGGACCTTCTACGCATCCATTCGTGAGGATTGGAAAAGCTGAGAGCACCAAGAAGATCGACTTCGACTTGTTTTCGCTTCCTTGCATTTTTGTAGGTTGGTCGCTTTCGCTTTGCTGCCAATTCTCGATACGAGAGTTCAAGGCACTGTGCACAGGCGGTGCACACAACGTACAGTTTACGGCACGTTGCGTGCGTTCAGAGCAGGGACTCACCTCGTCGAGTAACGGCCTGCAACTCTCACCTTGGGCGACTTGGTTGGTTTGTGTTTTTGGGATTGTTTAGAACCCACAAGAATTCCGACAGCGAGTGAGCCATGGTGTTGACGCAGGATGAACTGCGAGAGTTGCGGAGGCTGCAGTTGAAGGCCAATGAGCCAGATGAGGGACATGGCGCGGCGACTTCGCCCAGCAAAGTTCAGCGAGGTGGCAATAGCAAACTGGCAAGCAGCTCGATGACTGATGCATCGAAGCGACGCCTGGATTGTGACGCATTTGAAGAGTTCGAGATCATTCAGGGTGCAAAAGATGATTGGCTACATTGCGAGCCATGTATGATGATCAGGATGAGAACATTGAGCTCCCGCCAGAATGCAAATCGGCAGAGCAGTGGGGCGCCGCAAAAGTGGTTTTGGAGAAGTACAAAAAGGAAGAGCTTTGCTATGAGAGGCTGGTGCTAATGAGCATCAATGGAGATGTGGAGGCCATGAAGGACTGCCTCTTCATCAAGAGGAAGTTTGGAGAATCGAAGGCCAAGACGCAGGCACCTGATTTGGCACGCTATCTGCGCCGAATCAAGTTTGAGGATGATGCGGTCGAGAAGGCCAGATTTGTGAGGACCTTTGCGCGCTAGAATGAGGAGATATGGAATGTGGCTTGGGAAGATTGCCATGGGATGCAGTGAGCCCGGGCCAGCAGTAAAAAAAGAAAACGATAGGTACAACCTCCTTGGCCGAAGGCAAAGGTCATGTATAGGCGACTTCAATCCAACAGGGAGAAAGGTTTTGGACAGTGTCCTTTTGAGGACGCAGAAATTTGTTTGAAGTTGAAGGTCTTTGTGACCTAGAAAATCGACGAATGAGGTCTTGGTGACCCTTGAAAGCAACGTAAAGTTGCATCGCAATGTGTGCAGAGCTTTTTGTGCATGATGACATGCAGTTTTGATGTAAGATGTGGCATCTTTACCACAAAAGTCTGTTTTTGAGGCTTGAAGCAAACTTCACGGCACTTGAACCATGTTTGGCTCGAGTTCAAGTACAAAGAGAACAGGACAACGACACCGACACGTCGTTCTCGTCTGAGAAAGAGAAAACAGAGGACCGTGAAAGCTTGGTGGTTGCTGTGTCGCGTGTACCTGACACACACACGCGCTTGTTTGGTAAGCGCATGCACGTGTATCCGTCTCGTTGTAAGCTAGGACGCTTAACCTTTGTAGAAGTCGCAGGTTTGAGGTTGCCTTCGTTAACCTTGCGCGTAGTTAATTGACGGCCGCGCTAGAGGTTAGGAGTTTCCCAAAATGTCAGACATTGTGGCCAGCCAGCAAGGTAGGTTGATCTCTTTTCTCCAATCCACAAAGACTGGAAAAAGGGATGCCCCACAGCGCCGCAGCACTTGTGGTGAAGGGGTTCAGCGGGAAGCAACGCAGGAGCTGCAGTGGCACTAGCCATTCACCACTTGTGGGCGGAATGCCAGCTGACTGTCAGACTGGGCGCAATCGCATTGCAGCGTCTTGCTGCCTTGGTCTCACAGCTGAGTCAGGTACAGACGCCCCTTCGATGAACAGGTTGTCGGGTTGTCGGCAGATTCCGTTTCCAGCAAGTTTTCGCAAAACAGGAGCAACTGATGCACTGGAGTCTTCCGCCAACATGTGTGTTGTGTCCCCAAGCCTCGAGATGCCGTCTCCACTGACCACCTGTTGCAAAGGCGACCATGATCCAGGATGCAAAACCACTGCCCATGTGGGGGAAGGGGCTGTCCAGCGTGCTTCCTCCTGCCACCATCCCGTTTTTAATCAAAATAATCTTTATAATAGTAATTTTACCAAATTAATTATATAGTAATAGAAACTAATATAATTAAGTCTTCATATCCAGAAATATAGTTTTCATTATCATTATTTCTAAATATCGAATATGGAAAGCAATTATATTCTCGTTTCATCCTAATAATAAATATCATTAAAGTCAAAACCTTCCAAATATCTATAAATAAATCGCTGCATTTTCATAAACTCATTCACCTAATAATCTTCCTCCCACCAAAGGATTATTATTTCTTCGAGTCGGCGTAAATGATTGGCCGAAGATGAAAAAACATCATTTTCAACAACTTACAAGTCGACTTCTATCTAGATAATCTATTTTTATTCCTTTGTCGATCCGATTCTTTTCAATATCATCCGGCCGGTAATTTCTTCAGGGAGATTAGTTGTTAATTTATTATTTATGTAAGGATTTAATCGGATTCTAATCCATTTTTTTCCAAGACCTCAAAAAAGATTTTTCATAAAAGAGCCTCCATTACTAAAAGCATATTCACAACCGTTTCTTCCTATGAGCTCGAACTTCTAAACATGTCCAGTATGGACCTGGGACCTTCAGCGAAGGAAGGCTTCACCGAAGGCGAAAGGGGGGGGATCCTTCGACGAAGACCCCCCGAAGGGGGGCTTAAGGTTCGCCGAAGGCGTAAGGTCTTCGGTCGAAGGGGGCTTAAGGGGGGGAACTGAGGGGGGGGCTTCGAGGGGGGGGCTTAACGGGGGGCTTAAAGAGGGCGCCTTAAGGGGGGGCCTTGAGGGGAGCTTCGCCGGGAACAATTGGGGGAAAGGGGGCCGGAGAAAGGGAACTGGATATGTGGCTTGGGGATAGGGACTTGCGGAGAGGGAACTGAGGAGAGGATTTCGGGAAAGGAAAGCACTCCTTCGTGGTGCACCTCTTTTTGGATGCTCGGAAATGTTCTAGAGGCAGCCAAAGCAGATTGGATAGAAATTACCCCTCAGAAGCGGCGAAACGGCACTGAGGGGGTACAGGGTATCTTGGCTTTCTTGGCTGATGGCTGAAATCCTTTGCCCCTGAAGACCAGAGATGGTGGGTGCGGTGAGATGTTGGGTGCCCCCACGCCAGCCACGTCGGATTTAAGGGCTTACGCCCGACGGCCGGCCAGGGGCGTCAAGTCAGGGGGCTGGGGGGGCGAAAGCCGCGGTCGTGGCTGTTGTTGTGGTTGTTGGTGATGGTGTTGTTCAACATAGCCCCAAGATGGGCCAAGATAACGCCAAGATGGGGCAACGTAGTGCCAGCATCGGCCAAACATCCGCCCATGATGCAGATAAAGCACCCCGGTGCGGCACGCATTTCCAGCATTATTTGGGCCTATGTTGGGCTATGTTGACCCATCGTGAGCAACAAGCGCGGAAAAATAATGTCAAAAACCCAGGCGTTTCTGGGGCCCGGACCTGGGGGCGGCTACGCTTTCTGCTTCGCAGAAGGAGAGCTCCCCTGGAGGGACACGGCCCTGACGGGGCTCACGCCCCTGGCCGGACTTGTGAGTTCGACCCCATGTGCTGACCCAGTATATCAAAGACAGTGATCCACTGCCTCAGCCTGGTGGCATGTGACCTCTTCCAGGAGGATATGATTGGTCGTACCCTTGGTGCGATCGATGTGTTTGGTAAACGTTGCCTTGGCTAAAAGCTCGGGATGTGTCATGAAGGATTTTTTTGGGCAAACAAACATCACATGTGTAAAGTGCTTGCATCAAATGACGTCAAGCACACAAGCCAAGTGCATTGCAGCCACAACATGAATACTATTGCTTTGATACCGTAATCCCGCTTGGGCAGTCTAACGCAAGGGTGTTGCAAAACTTTCAACAAAAACTTGCAGGAATTGTTTTTTTGTGCGCATGTGTTTCGTGTTTGGACACCAAATCCAGCCAATGATGCCAATAGTGCGGGTTCAAGTTTCTGTATTCTTGGCATTATCTAGTGTATTTTTTTGCTGGCCCTCCTCTCCTGTATGCGTATATAGCTCAAAAGACATCAGCTGAAGATCTCAGACGCGTTTGCTTTTCCCAACCGCACACAGCAAATGTCGACACCACATGGTATCGTCAAGAAGGGAATTGTATCGTCAAGAAGGCTTTGCAGCCTGCGACCGCCGAGGGAAACCGTTTTTCCCGCTGCTCCAACTGCTCCAAGCTTCAAGTCGAAACAGAATTGAAGATAATGTAGACTCTTGATTAAAGCCCCCTTGGCATTGAGTGTCTTCAATGTCACACTCTTACACTAAAGAGCCAGGCCAGGGCCAACACGTAGAGCTCTAGTGCTCGGAATACATGCTGTGGAAAAGATGTCCTTGTGTTGTGCAGCGCAGCGTCCGGAAGTTTTGCAGAGCTGCCTTTGCGATCAATGATCCCAAGGCTTTGTGGTGCTTCAAGTTTTTGACATGCTTGAACTTCTTCAGCTGAAACTTGTGAGTGGTGCACTGTTTGCACCAAGGGTGCCTTTGGGCACTCTTTTGTTTCAGGCGCTTCAAGAACTACAACATGAGTTCGGGCGATATGAAGAAGCTCTTTGCCAAAACAACGTGAAGGAGCGCGAAAAAATACGAGGAACGTGGCTCTCTTCCCGTGCAGCCGTGGGTTGTGGTCTCAAATTCAATTTTGCAGCCATCGTTATGTTGAGGAACTGGACCTTTTGTTCCACAAAAGCCCTGAGACCGTCCGCTATGGAGTTTCGGAGAATCTGTATGGCTACGAGGCGCGTTCCAGCCGGGCCGGATTGGTGTGCAAACACCAGCACTGCTTCATGAAAGGATTTACTGATTGACATGAGTGACTGCAAGGTCCTAGCGGTCCTAGTGTTTTTTTTTCCATGTGTTGAGTTGGATCCGGTTGGTCCTTCTGCCAGGATGGGCCAGCTGGGTGTTGGGCGCAGCCTCCCCCAAGTGCTGGTCACCCCTCTTCCCGACCAGGCCATCCAGGCCTTTCGCGGCGCGCGTGCTCCGCCGGGGCAGCGGGAGATCTTGAGATCGGCGTTGACCACCTATGGAAGCGACCTGGGAGTGACTCGCTTGGGAGCTCCGCGCGATGCGGTGTGTGGGGATTGTTTGGTTGTAAGACGAGCGTGTTTCAAACGGGGGTCGTTGGACAGTGCTCTAACAAAGGAGGTTGGTGTCTGTGACTGGTCGTTGGGATTGTGAGATACTGTTGAACATCAATTTGCTTTCAGTTCCTTTACATGTAAAAAAACATCTCTGCATTGTGGAATCTTGGCTCATCAACATCCATTGGCAATTGGCTTTCAATTCCGTTTTGGGCTCGTCCCAACCTTGGCTCATCGAATCGACCGATGCGATCGACGTGCCTGCACGTGAAGCACGTGAAGCACGTCACCAGGTGACTCACATCGAGTTCCAGCGCGATGGGAGTCGCAGAGTGGGTCGACAAACCCAGACATGGCTTCGAAGCTTGGTGGGGAGGACGCTGGAATCCGCTGTGTCTGGCGTGGACCGGGTCTAGTGCCATTTGTAAACCTGTAACAGAAAGGGTAAACCAGAAAAGGCCTGCAACTTTTCACCATCATCATCCACTGGGCCCTGGCAATAGGTTAGACCCATCATGTGTATATACATAGGGTGTCTCTGTGGCTGCGTAGAGGGGTTGGAGTTCTCTAAACCTTCCAGGAGGTCGGAACGCCTGGCATGGTCTCCTATTTTAATGCACACCCATTTGTCGTCTCTACTTTTGTTTGGTGAAGAGCTGCTATTTTTTGGTTCGACGAAACAATTTCAAGGAAGGATGAGCATGTTTTCTTGAACATGTCTTTCTTTGTTGTGTGTACTTCTTTGTTCTGGGCTGTCTTTTTGGTTTCGTTCGAAGAAGATGCCAGTGGACGGGAGGATTGAATCCTCATGCTTTTCTGGAGGTTTTTGCTTTCACCGAGGAACCGCTGAGGGATGGAAAGTGATTTCAGCACATGTATCCATGATGGAAGAAGCTACCTAGCTGGACCTAGCTGGACCTAGCTGGACCTAGAGTCGGTCCAAAGAGACCTGTGGCTTTGATAACCATTTTCGGGAAAAGAAAGGAGGCTCTGAAGCTGACTTGCTTGATCCGAGCATCATGTCAGGACAAGAAAGCTAGGCAGCTAGACTTGCTCAGACATGAATTCATCGTGGCCACTCATTTCCCTCCACGCCTTTCGTGCTGCGGTGTGCGACACGTTGTGCGACACGGTGTCTCCAATGTTTGGTGAACCGCAGTTGTTCAAGCTGAATCGTGAACAGCTGCGGAGACAAAACAAGTTCCCAAAACCTAGGAGTACTGCACATGCTCTTAACTCTTGGCCAGACTTTGGGAGCTTCAATCTTCCGTGAGCGACGTGTGAAGACGGTAGCGTCCTAGCGTCCTAGTCAGGACGAGGCGCCATTAATGAACATGGCTCCTTGCAGAGATGCGAGGCCCGAGATATGTGGGTTCCACCTTGACATTTCGATTGCCGCTGCCCCTCAGTCGACAGCCCTGTTAGCGCCTGAAGTGATGAGATGCTGCACAAGGCTTCCTGATTGGAAGATCCAATCAGGATCAAGCAAAACACAACAAAGATGGACTCCACGAATCCAGAATCGATTTTTTCATGTTTACTGCCTGAGAAAAACCATTGCTCTCCGCGCGTTCTTCCAGGAGAGCTATGTCTGTTTGTGGGTTCTTCCCAGTGGGAAAGCATCATCGAGGCGCCAGTGCCGGGGCGGCGAGTCCGGCGCGCGACGACCGATGCGGGCCGCGAGGCCACCTGGGCGAGCCACTTCACGACCTTTCTTTGGCCGGATGCGGTCGGCGTCCAGGCCGAAGCATCCAATTGTTGGGGGAGCCCAGAGCCAGCCGGTCGTGTCCGACGACGACGGCCAGTCGTGTCCGGTCCGGCTCACGAAGGACGCCGCCTGACAACGCATTGGGAGTGATTTTGCGTGTGTTTCGTCGTCGAAAGGGGTGGGTTTTCGTGGGGATCGACGGACTTCGATCTCTTTGGGGGGAGTCAAACAGTCAAACAAAGGAACAGTTCGAGATCTCCAAGCATGTGGACCTTCGGAATGAGGCAGTCTTACAAACATGTTTGACCGATCCAGGCACAAACAAGCTCCCCAGGCTGAGCCTGGAAGCGGTCCCAGGAGCGTGCGCACACGTCGGTGAGCACTAATGTGAGCACCATGAGTGCAATGTCAAGAGACTGATCCAGGAATCACAAAGGGGTGGTGTTTGGTCCCTAAGTGAGTGGATAATGGGCACCCCTAACCTCCATTAAGCACCCCTTTGTGACTGCTGGATATTTATTCAATTTATTCATGCAATGCCAGGCCTCAGGCCTGGTCTGAACACATTCCACGTCTGACGCGAACCGTCTTCAGACGCGGTTCCTCTGCGCTCCGAAGACGCGACGCGAGACGTTCGAAGGAAGCGCGACCCGCTGCCGCAGGAGTTTCGGCAGATCAGCCGCATTTTCAGGCGTTGAGCCTCTGGTCCACATTGGCTCGGAGGTGCAATGTTTGAGCTTTTTGACATGATAGCAGATAGCAAGAGATGGGTGTGTATTCAAATAGGGAGACCTCCCAAAGACCCCAAGGAAGAAAAGAAAGTAGACCAACACCCATTGGTTGGGGATCTCCCTATTAAAAGTCACACCCAGATAGATGCCAAGGCCTTCCGGTTGTTTTGGCTAAATGCTGAGAAAGCTGGCAAAGTGACCAGCTCTGAATGTATCAGGCTCCTTACTCCGAATGTCTCCAGGAGCCACCATCTCGCACAACCGAAGCATCAGCCACCATCTCGCCACGTGGTTGTTTTCTTCTCAGGAGCGAAGATCCACTGAGCCAATGTTACTGGCTGATGCACGTGGATGGCAGGCCAGGTCGTGCTCGCGCTGGCACACACACCTCACCACCTCACTCTTCCTACCCACCTCAGCCAACAGCGATTGTTTGATCCAGGAGCTACATCAACATCCCTCGCATTGCTGAACGACTGGACTGTGTGGCAGGTTTGCAGCCGGAGTGCCCTGAAAGGAAGTTGGGGTTGGAAGGTTTGCTTTTGATATTTGGTACGCTCAACCGATGCGGTGCACCTCGATTCTCGCTGTGTTTTGTTGTTTGGCCGCTTTGGCCTTCCAACTTTTGGGTTGCGCAGAACTGCAACCGTTCGCCACAAACGGAGAAATCCAGAGGTACTACGCTCTGAGCGCCATGATCGGAGAGTCCCGGGTGGGCCTGGCAGATGAGTCCACCGGGTACGTCTTCGGTACCGTGGCGAGCAGCGTTTGAGCAGACGTTTGAGCAGATGTGGAATATTTTTTGGTGGCAAATTTGCAGTGAAGCCTTGGAAGGGGACAGGACCTAATTGAGTGCACTCAACCACGTCTTGGTTGACCTGTCAGAAGCGCCAAGGTCGCAAGCTCTTGTTTCACCTGCATTCCTCTGGCTGGGCTTCGAGCTTAGGAGAGTTTGCACGTGTTCCCTGTTCTTTTCACTTGTGATGAGGTGGAGAAGTGTGCGAGGGAGTTCTCCAACAGCGAAGATGCCCAAGGACCTGCAGAAGCTCGTAGAGTCAATAGATTTCCTGTGTCTCTGTATGTCAGCTGAGTGTTGAGAACTGCCCACGTTTCATTTTTTTAGGATTTGGCTGGACATGGCCCTCAGGCTGACTGGATTTCGTGTTTCAAAAAAACACTGCGGTTCCGCAGTCCACTTGGCTGGAAGTTGCCGCACAAAACGGCAGGTTTCTATGTTTCTCTTTGCCTTTGGTGGCATCAGCGCTTAAGGCCTCTCCTCCCCCCCACGTTCGCCGGATTCCCTCGCGCCTCTCGCTGGATGCGCTCGCGCGCCTCGCTGGATTCCCGGATGGTGGCAGGTCCCAGCGGCTGGGCGACCCGCTGCAAGAAGTCCTCACTCGCTCGCTGCCTCGGGGCAGGCGCCGCGCGCCCGCGCCCCCGCGCCCGCGGGGGATGGCCGTCGGCGACGTGGGAAGAAACCCCGACTGGATCGGATCGACGGTGGAGCGACGACATCCGACGGCCGCAGCGGAGAAGACGTGGTTCGGATGGACGCCGGCGCCCCTTGTCTTCCGAGGGACAGTCCACTCCATCGGCTGCGCAGTCGGGAGCTTTGGTTGCCAAGATCGGGAGCTTTGCCGCGTGGGCGAGTTGATGCAACATGTGTTTTTGGGTTGTCAATTGCCAAATGTGTGACCCAACCCGCCTGGTCCTGTGTTACACACATTTCACAGTCTCAGACGTCTTTTTTCCGCAGCCTTCGAGATCTTCTGGTCGAGATCGTGCCGTGGTCCCGAATGGGTTGTTCGAGGTCTACACCCCTCTGGGCATTGTATCTTGTGTGCTGCGGCCAGCTCTCCGTCCAGCCTCCGTGAGGTGCCAGACGGCGCGAGTTTCGCGCCGCGCCCGCGCGAAACTTCGATGCGATGCCGGTGGGTGAAGCCATTGACACCAAAACAACTCCGAAAGAAGTCAGAGGACGTAGGCTTTTGATTAATAACACTCCTTTTGAATTGAACAACCTCTTTACATGGGGCGGTTATTATGTTACATCCGTGGTGTTGTATCCACTCACCGGCACACACACACAACGATGCAGAATGGGCTTTGTCAAAGACAAGCATGATGCAAGAGATTCTATGGCTTCTTACAACACTCCTTGTACCAAACAGTTAAACAATTCAACCAGGCCTATGTTGAGTTTATTGTGGATTTCCAGCAGTTTCAAGGACCCAAAACAACACAGGACCCGACCTGGCTACAGGACCCCAGTGCTTGCTAGGCCCTGGCAATGCTGCCGTTGTTCATCGAACGAAGCCCGAGTCCAGCGTTCGGCTCGCTTCGCAGATCCATCGTCGTGTGCAGATCGCCAGCCCGGGGGAGAAGGTGCAAGCCCGATCTGTGGAGCCAGGGGGGCGAAGACGGGTGATTGATCCTCTGATCCAAGAGTGGTATAGCGGTATAGTAAAAACACACACACACACAGATATATATATATATATATATACGGGCTCGTGAACTTTTCGGGGCCCCCTGGGAAGCAATTCATGTTCAATCATCTGATCCAAATGTATCAAACCCTTCAACTATTCATCTGATCCAACTATATCATCTGATCCAACTAGTTCATCTGTGTACACATATATCCTTTGCAAACATATTCACTATGTCCAAAGAAGCTTGAATTTAGCTCCTGGCATTTCTGGCCAGTGGTCTCGTCAAGCGCAAGATGTTCTCGACACGTGGCTCTTGAAAGATTTGAAGGGCGTGCAGAAAAGGAATATGTTGGCATTGGAGGACAAACCACCTGCTGAAAGTTCCTGCTCAAAAGCCGTTGGCAACATCGTTGAGAGCTCAGAAGCCCTGGACTCACAGCCAAAGGATGAGGATGCCAACATCTTTGAGGACCATCACTCAGAAGCCCTGGACTCACAGCCAAATGATGACAATATGATGGACGAGGATTGCGTCAAGGAGACAACCCCCAAGGATGGCAAGGCCAAGGTCTCATCTTCATCTTCTTCGTCTTCTACCTCCTCTTCCTCGTCCTCTGACCGTACTAAGCGCCGCAAGGTAGAACTGCAGGCTGCATTGACACATCTGAAGAACTTACAAGAAGTGCACCACCTTGAAGACATGGGCGGTTGTCTGCAAATGATTAAATCCGCCATGCAGAATGTCAATGCAGCTTTGCGCTTGTAGATAGCATGAACCTCCTCTGGCATGAACCTGGGCGTATGGCGTATGAAAGATTTCATGCAGTCTATGTGCAATGTTTTTGTGGAAGTATATGCATATATATATATGGGCGCGTTTCATGGTATTATATCTTATCCATTACTTCTCAGGGGGCCCCGAAAAGCACGCGCGCCCATATATACATATGCCTGATTTTCTCGTTTTGGCGCTCACAAGTCATGTCAAGTCATGGGTAGAAAAAGGTCGATTTGGATCCCCATTCGGGTGACTGGCTGCACGGCGTTTCACGCCGTGGCCGTTGCAGGATGTGGCACGGGATTCTTTGAGGGCCGAGGCTGTGACCGCTCGCAGCCGGTCGAGACCCGTCTCCCTATCCCGAAATGCCGGTCTGCTGGAGACATAAGGCTGAGGATCACAAAGGCTGAAGGAAGAATATGTAGTTCAAGATCACAATGCTAATGCAAATACATATCATCACATGATTCAGACATGTTCAATTCAAGCCGGAAGAATCGTATCTGACTTTGGACGCCAGACCGGTGTAGAATTCGCAGGTGGGCTGCTTTGTGCACAGCCTGGCAGAGCCGGAAGCTCTTGCACCTCCTTGGCCAAGAGCTCAGTGGTGCACCTGTCCCCCGATGCTCGGGACGGTCGGGATTGCCCTTGAACTTCGGTGGATGCGGTCAGGAGCTATCGAGTTGCACGGGCGATCGCAAGGCATGTGGAAGAGCAACATATAGTATATAAGTCCGTAGAAATTCAATTGATCACTTTGCACTTGTTGCCAATTGACATGCTAACAGCAATTTGTTTGCCTAGCTGTCAGGTGCCCGCTGAAGCTTGCCCTTGGTCAACAGCCTGAAATAGGCACCATAGCATGTTTTTGGCTGATTTTTCTGGTTGGTGTACACTTGTAAACAATCTTGGCGGGATGTTTTGCTTGAAAAAAACAGACTTTGGAAGGCGTCAGCATCTTGAAGCAGGAGCTCCTCAGGCACTGCGGAAGTCACCTACAGGAAACAAAATCCACAGGAAGTTTGCTGTCCTTTGCAATCTCCTTCACGTGAAAACCATGAGTTGATTGGTTTGATGTCTGGTTGGGCAAGTGTTGCAGATCTTCTTGGTAAGACATTCTTTTTCGCTGATCCATTGTTCAACCACCGAACGTTCCACCAGATGGGCGCTCAGGCCTTCCTTGCCAAAGGGCGCCTGTCTCAGACACTTCAGATGTGAACCGCCACAGATGTGCAGATGGCGAATGCCTCACTAGAAAAGAGTCTACTTGGAGGATCTGTCATGCCTCTCATGTGCAGCCTCTCATGTCCGTCCCCCTGGCCCGGCACGAGACGTCACGTGGCAGGTGCCGCCGCGGCGTATCTGCGAGGTAGGCGGAAGGAGATTGGGCCGGTGGTTGGGACGAAAGCAGATTCAGGGTTATACACAGCTGGCTGTGTTTTCTGAATGGTTCAGTTTGTTCTTTGAGCTCTTCGGACGCTCGAAAAAGACAACGAAACAGCTACAGTTGTCCTGCATGAAGCCACGAAGCCTCCGGTTCTCCGTTGGACGACGCAGGAGCTTTGTATTTTGATGCCGGCCACGGATGCGACACCGACGCAGGCCGCCGAGGGGCGACGCAGCCGAAATCGCTCGAGCTCGAGAGCGCAGGACGCCTTGAAAGGGTCCTTTTGGACACCACATCCTTTCAAAGGTCCTCACTGCTTCTTAGCATCCCTTTTCGGACCCCTGGATTTTGCATAGTTATCCGGTTTTCTGCCTCAAAAGCGGTCACCAGGTGGACCGCGCGGTGGCAGCGGTGGAGACCTGGGCGAGGTGGAGACCGAACGAGCGAGCTTGTTAGTAGGGTGAACTCCCAAAGGACTTCCATGGAAATCGGGAGCGCAACTTCCCTCCCTACGAATGAAGCACCAGTCAGTTGGAGGTTCATAGGGGATTTGAAACATCAAGCTGTTGAACTAGGCGATGATACTGTAGTTCCTCACACATTTGGCTGGATGTTGGTCGTACCAGCCTACAGGCGCTACTTGCCCAGTGCTGGAAGAGTGACCGGCCGGCAATCTGAGTCCCTTCCAATCTCTGTGTATGGAATGTCGTACTTCCACTTGATCAAGCAGCGGAGAGATGCCTTTCTTCCAAGGTCGCACTTTGGCCTTGTTGTACAGCCGACATCCGCTTCTTGAAACTTGGAAGGAGTTTCATTTTTTTTCATCCGAGCTTTGAGCGTCCTCGCCCCGTCTCATTGCTTGGCTTCAGGACTTCACGTTGTCTCTGCACGGAGACCTGGACATGCGACATCCCAAGTTCAACGCGCCACATCCTCAGGTGTTTGATCCACCCAGATCTCGTTGAATGTGTTCTCTCTCCTCGCTTCGCTCAACGCCCGATCTGCCGGATGTTGATCAGGTTGCGTTTCGTGTACATGTGGCTGACATTGGCCACGCATTTGGCGACCTACTGTGACTTCTGGATGAAGGTCGGAGACCCCTGGAGCTTGTTATAGGCCTTGCTTGGTTTTGTTCCCCAAAGGACATCCTTGCTTGTGATCGATCGCGCTTTCCGGAAGCAGCCCGGATGCTTCTTCGTGTGAGTGCCCGCTTTAGAGCCAAACCAGACCGACGGCTCTCGTGAGGCCGACATGGATGCTTATGTGAACATTCCACGAATTCGACAAGCCCTGCGGTTCATGAACGCATCGGAGAAGGCCAAGGTTTCTTTTATTCCAATTACGAATGCCAGCCGATAGGCTAGGCTGAAGTTAGTGCTGCAGCCAAAGTTCGTTATTAGAGAGGGCGTGAGGGGAGAAAACTAGATAAAAATCCATCAGCCTGCTAGTGTTTTTGATTTCAAGAAGATTATTGTTGGTGGCTTGATAATGCAGAAGGTGCAAGGTGAGAAGGCGTTGCATCACGAGCATCATTACTACCCGAAAGCAGCGCATATGGCTAGTCCAAAGGCAGTCTATTTATGTACATGTGAACATTGCTGAAAGACTTATGTGACTATGTACACATGTATCTATAGAACACGCCTCGTACCAGTCACTTGCGCAGACCAGTCCTATGATTCCCCCAAGACCACTGCTTTCAGTAATTCCTTGCCTTGACATTCCAACATGGAAGACATATATACTGGTAGTGGCCCGACTATCTTTGGGTCGAATCACCCAAGATATACAGACTTTGGCGCCCACTTCCATTTGCATCAACTGGAGTGTCTTCTCCTACCCGGGCCCATCACGCTATGCTCCTGCATTCTGGTGTTGTGGCCGTTCGTCGCCCCAGTAACCCGTAGGTTTGGGCCTATGACTGGGGCTTGTGGCCGATGGGAACGGACAGCGGCCCAAATACTAGCGCAGAAAAATGTACCTTTCACCCCTGGGAGGTCTTGGTTGGGGAGAGGCTGACCTGCCCGCTTCCCTGTTTGCATCTACCGAAGAAACCCGTTCCGCGTGTACTTCCAAGGAAGCCCCCCAACCTTTCCTAACCAACGCGTCTCTGTCACTTGCGCGTTCCTCCAACGAACCAACAACAAAAGCCAAATGCCAACTATAACTTCAAAAGTTACAGCTGACCCAGCCTTCAGCCATCTCCGTGCGACCACTGTCGCACGCGGAAAAAGTCTTCTGCGTGTTGGTCCTGGCTTTCGCTTCCCTCTTCTCAAGTTATACTTTTTCAATTTCTTCAAATTCTTAACAACTTTTCTACACTTTGCTTTTCCATTTTGACAGCCACGATCTGCCTTTTGTTGTGCAAATCCTGCCCTCAGATCTACGCCGGGGCCGTGACGTTCTCACACGGTCCAGGTGCGACCGCTGTGCAGATTGGAGGATTTAACCAAGTGAGTGCGGTAGAGGATCGGACTCTTGACTTGGACTTGCTCGGATTTTGGTTGGATTTGTATGTTCAAGTGGAACTGCGTTTTTTTTTGCCACAATATTGGCCATACAAAAACGGAGGCATGTGCAGGCGAAGACAGAAACGCAATCGCATAGGCCCCACAAAGGTTCTTTGTTGAAGGGGAACTCTTCCGCAGGCAACGATTGCCAAAAGTTCTTTTGTTGTTAACTTTGTTTTATATACAATATATCAACTTGTGTCGGTAAGAAGTTCGCCAAAAGGTTCGCCACTGGGGCGCCACATGTACTGTAAGGTAGCTAAGGCTTGACGCTGACATGTTGCTAAGAACAACATTTTCGGCAATTCAGCACCCGGGTGACTTGGACTCGGTTTTGGTCAACGCCTCGTATCCGTCTAGAACATTTGCGGCCGCCAGGCTATGAGACCTGGAACACCTTTGCACATGGTATTGGTTACATCATCAGCCGCGCAGATGGCCTCAGAGTCGAAGAACCGTCGGTCAGACAGTCAAAGATGAGTAGAGGAACAAAAATCAATCTCCTAAAACCTGCGCTCTACACCTTGTTTTGAGAATCTTTGAGAGCTCACATCCAACCAACCCTTCCCTGGGGCGCCCCATGCCATGTAGCCGTTTGGCCACGGGGCCCCGGGCCCACGTCAAACGAGGCAGCTCTGCGTGCAGCAGTGCCAGGCCTCCGAAAATGTGCGCCGCTCCGCATCGGAAGAGCCGAGGGGGCCCGGTGTGACCGTTGGGCAATCACTTGCGAGGTATGGATCAACTGCTACAATTTCGCTTGGAAGCCATTGAGGACTGAAGTTGGGTAGTAATTTGGGTGTAAGGGAGAATTGGGGAGAGCTTGGAATCCTCCAACGGTTGGGCAACGCTTGGAACACGGTGCGAGTCTTGACTGGGGGACTGACCACCCCAGTCCGTTTTGTGTCCTTTGCCGCTTTGGGGATGGAGGGACTGCCTCACCCATCGACTCTGCGCAAATCGGCGGGGTCGCCACCGGCAGTCGGCATGCGGCGGCATGCCGCTCGTGCCGCGGCCATGTGAACGACGTAGGGACCAAGGGCCAAGGGGTTTTGATGTTTGGCTGGTTCCTCCAAGTTCTCCGGCGACTTGTCAAAGCCACAGAGGACATGCTGCTGGGTGCTTGTTTGCGAAAGGTGGAGATCTATCCGCGCGAGACGCTTGGACACAGCGAGGAAAGGGGGGGCGGGACGAGTCTAGTGAGACGAATCTGGAAGGTGCATCGAAGCAGCGGGGAAACCCGTGCGACCATGGAGGAGGAAGCTTCAAGAGCCGTTTTCATCACGACTCGCCTCGGCTAGCGAACAGAGTCCCTTTTGCTTCAGAACGGTTTTTTGGGAAGTGGGGGGATGGGCACTGGAGATCGATCCCAGTTATTCGTCACTAGAAACGCTTCAATCTCGCTCCGCGGTTCAACTCCCCACGTCGCATGCAACGACCTCCGGTCGTTGAACGATCCGTGCGGTTGAATCGGTGGACTTCAATGGGGACGATAAGACGACACCCACCATTTGGTGCCTGTGGTCGTTGGGGCGGCTTTGGGGGCAGAACATGATGTTCGGACCGGAAGAGCATGGGACATCATGGGACATCATGGGACAGCTGGCGCAGCGACTCTTCCGCTTGAATTGCAGGGCGTAGTTCATGATTTGTGTGCAAGGGAGTAGGCAAGTTACTACGAATGAGGCACATGTGCTGATACAAGAGGCTGTTTTGACCTGCTAAGGCTTGGTCACATGATCTACAACTATCGGAGCGGGCAAGTGCAGAGGGTGCGCGGTGACCCCAAACTCACTGGCACAGAAGCAAGAGGAAAGCATGGACCTAAACAGTCTAAACACATCTCGGGTTGGTGCCGGAGTCGAGCAGTCCAGCTTTTTGTTTTGGGGTTAGCGTTGTCAGAAGCATGCTTGGGCTAGCGTTGGCACCCGGCATACTTAGCCATTTTAAAGCTGCTCTTCCAGCTGGCCCGGCTCATCTTCAAGCCAGGTTTTGGAGGAGAAGCCCTTGGTGACTCATCGTGTGGATGAAGACGAAATGCTTGGCGCTTAGTACTTAGTCACTTAGTATTAGTCACATGCTTGACACATCGTCACAGGATCACCCCTCACGCAGGTACCGCTTGCACACTGCAGTTGCTGACGAGCCAAAGATGGTCGAGCTTTCTCCCGAGGAGAAAAAGATGCGTCACTGCGAGGATCTCCTAGAGCCGGCAATGTGCATCAGACTTTTGTGTTTCTCAAACAAATTGCTTTGGATGTCCAGTTCGTTCAGGCCATGAAGATGCAATTCTCACATAAATGCTTTTTTGCCCCGACCTGCTTGGCTTAGACATGAGAACGGAGAGGGCGAGAGATGACTCGAATTCAGTGACTCTGGACCTAGTCAGCAGTATCTGAGGGATGCGGGATGCACTATTTTAAAATTCAAACTTGAGATCATAGCTTGCTTAGCGCTTCAAGCAACGCAAGTGTTTGCACACACCTTCGTTTTGCCATGGCGGGGAGCTTTCGAACCTTTCATTGCAGCCGGAACAGGCACTTGCAGGTCTTGTTGCGGTGAAGTGTGCAGGTCTTGATGGAATTGATCAAAACTGAAGACTAAGATTTGAAAGAGGTTTGTGTTCTGACAACATATGTCCATGGCTCGAACGTAGGGGGGTCGAAAGGGCATGGCCAATCCCACTTTGGGAGTTGTATGGCACAGTTGCATTTCCATACCGGCAATGGAGGTTGGTGTTGAGAAGGTCTTGTTTTCAGCCAAACCCTCGCGGCGGGCCAGGCCATGACGGAACCTGTCTTTGAGGCCAGGAGGACAGAGAGCCTAGAGTAAGAGCAGCTAGCTTCGCACTCTGATTAGTCTGATTTGGGTTTGGGATACAATTGGATACATCTCAACTTAAAGGGGACAAACTCTGGCTTCGGGGAGTTTCTTAACTAGGGTGTCCTCAAAAAACAGAGACAGAGACATCTCAACAAATCGCCATGGCTTTGGTGGGGGGCCCTTTTGGCACACCCACACACACCCAATAGTTCAAGCTCTGCTCGCTCGTTTCTTCGCCGTGGCCGTGCCAAGTCCATGTCAGGCTGAAGCTTTGGGCCGTTCGGGTGAAGGCCGAGGCAATGAAGCTTCTGATTCGAGAGAGGCAGATGGACAGGCAGGACATGGAGGACAGGCTGAGACGGAGGGTGCAGAGGGTGTTGGGGCTGAACAACTGCCCAGCCGATCGCCTTCAATGACTTCAAGACGTTCGAGACACAGTCGAGATTCCACTGGATCCTGTCATTCGATCCACGTTCAAGTGCCTGAAGGCGTTTTGCCGGGCGAGAAGTTTTTTGTGGTGGTGGATAACATGGAATATGAGGTTTGGGCGCCAGAGGGCTCCTCCTCAGGCGACATGGTGGCCATGGACGTCTACTCGGACTACGCCTCCAGCCGATTGGCCTTGACCCACTCGCGCGAAAGTGAAGCCAAGCGATCTGAGACTAAGGGCTCAGACCGGTCGGTAGCCACGGATGCCAGCTTGGTGTATGTGGAAGTGCCTGAAGGCTGTTCGAGTGGCGAGACCTTCTTCACTGAAGTCAATGGATTTGAATATGAGATCCTGGTTCCGACGGGCTGCACGCCGGGGGATTTGATTTACCTGGAGGTTCCATCCAAGCACACCATCGGTCGATTTGTAGCACCGGAGTCGGAAGCCTTTCCGATTTCCAACGTGCCCAGCGTCCCAAGTGCAAAGGAAGTCGTGGGAGAAGTGGCCACCTCCGATGGCTTCCTCAGCGAGATTCGCGTGCCAAATGGTGTCCAAGAAGGGCAGACCTTTGTGGCGATTATCGATGGAATGGAATATGAAATACCAGTGCCCGCCGCCAGACGTGCATTTGATCTGCATCCTTTTGCTTGGAAAACCAATATAGGCTAAAAAGGTCAAGAGGCTTCTCAGAAACTCAGGTTCCTTTTTTGTCAGCCAGACACATGTCCGCTCCTTTTTGGTTGCCCCTGCACTTGACTCTGTTTAAACAACCACGCATCTCAATCATCCGAATCCCCCCAAAAACGAAACACTTGAAGCTTCGCTTCTTCGCTTCATCCTGGTTCTTTCCCGGTCTCTCTTTCATCCTTCTTCTTCTTCTTCATCCGACCCACCCGAGTCTTTAGCGACCGAGCTCCGGGGGCCTTTCATCCCTACGGTCCGAGTCCGTCCGTCTTCCGTTCGGTCCAAGTCCGAGTCCGTTCCGCTCAGCTCCGGTCGCTCCGCCACCCGCACGGCACGGCCCGGTGGGTCCGTTTCCATCCGCTCGAGGAAGGCTGCGGGCCCGGCGATGTGATGTCCCTGCAGCTCCCGTCCAAAGGGCTCGAGGCGCCATCCTCTCAGGCCGAACCAACGGGGACGGGACCGGACCGGACGCCGGGTGAGAGGGGGTCTCCGGTGGAGCGTGGAGGATGGAGATGGAGGAGGATGGAGATGTGTGAACTCCTCACTTTTGGTGCTTCCAAAAGCAGTAGGGGATTTCTTGTTGGCCCAGTCTAGAAAGATTTATGAAAGCAAGAACATGGAGTACCAACGATCATCACTTCAACGTGCCAATGCCCAATGTCGAAGACTTGCGTAAGATGGGCCGACTCGAAGACTACTTGCTTCCGCCCTGAGGAGTTGCAAGAGGTTCGGGCAGAGCTTGAACAAGTGCGAGCCGAGCTGCGTGAGGTTCGAGAGGTGCAAATGGTGCAGAAGAGGCAGATGAAGCCGAGAGAGTCGGAGCTCTTCGAATCGATCCACGGAGTGGGTCATGTGATTGGCCGGTCATGCCGAGGTCATGAAAGGCTTTCACTCCAAGACTTTTTGCTTCTTTCCAACGTTTGCTCTCTCTCTCTCTCTCTCTTGAAGTGGACGCTCTTGTGTCTGCTGCTATCTGCATGGGCAGCTCTGAAGTCAGACGAGTGTCTCTCCGTGCCGTTGACCCACGAGGGTCTCCACTCATGGCCCATCCGCTTTCGCTTCGCGGCAGGTTCGGTACTGTCGGTGCCCAGCCTCCACGACCGCCCAAAGACGTGAGCACATACTCTCATGCCCGGAAGAGGTGTAGGCTGGCAGTGGATTGGGCCTGAAGAGGTTCCGACATGCTTCACAGGGGCCCACCCCTCCTTGTGGTTCCAACATGTTCCAAAAAACTGACCAACCAGAAACCAAGCGAGTCCAAGTGGGGAACATTCGCGTGGGGAATATATGTTCTCCGCCCCCCCCCAGACGGCACCTAAGAAGCTCACGTGAGCACACCCTTGCCGTGTGTGGGTGCCGTTGCAGGTCCTGGCAAGAATCCAAGTCCTCCGACTCGAATTATATCGAGATCTTGATTCCACCGGATTGCTATTCAGGAGAGCTGGACTATCTTCTGTCTCGGTGAGGGACGGGATGTGACTGTGACGGGAGTTTTTTTTTCTTCATTTTTTTGTGTGTTTTCCATTGCGCAATTGAAGATATGGACCCATGAAGATGGGTTCGTGCGGAAGAGAGGGGTCCTGCAGTTGAACAGTTCAGGAGATTCCTTCGTGGTGGAAGTGGACGATACAGAATTTCAAATGGTGGCTCGGTCTGAGGATCAGACATACAATGCACAAAAGTTCACATAAGATCTGTTCCCTGCTCGCCCAGCTCAGTGGTTGGCCTTTTTTTCTACTAAGGCGGGGGCAGAAAGGCAACATGACTTCCTTTTCAACCGGTATGAGCTACCAGTAGCTAGAAGCTTCCTGCTCGTCTCAAAGAAGCGACCATAAGGACCATCAGGTATGTCTGGTCTTCGGGGTCTCCCCCCCGGAACTCTCGCCCCGAACTCGGTCGTCCAACCGGTCGGTCCGAGCGGACTTCACCGGACCTACCAGCACCCTCCCTGCCGGGTCTCCGAGTTGTGGATGGTGGAAGACCTGTTGGAGGAGGGTCCTGGTATTGGAAGACTCTGGTGGACACCACAGGGTTTTTTGCCCTTTTCTTGGTTCGTCCCGTGCAGCATCAAGCCTTAGCCTTTCACCCCACCCCCCGACGCCGGGTTGTTAGAACTGGGATGTTCCACCTCCTGCCTGGTGAGTGCTCACCTGGTGGATGCCCACCTGTCCGGCCCGTCTGATGCAGCGGTGACTGTAGCGGTGCCCACTCAGGTGGTTCCACCGGGATGTCGCCCGGGGGGAGGTGATCTACATGGACATCCGCGAGGCCGGGCGGGCTGGGCGCCTTTCTCGGTTCGTGCCGGCCGCTGGTCGTCTCAGACTCGAGTCACATGAGACCATGGTGGAACAAGCACTGATTGATGTGATCAGTGAGTTGTTCTTGTTACTTTTGGACAGGTTGAGTGGCTCTTTGGTTCGAGGTCATTGAAAGAGCCCTGTAAGAGTCATATGAGTCTGAGTCCAAACTCGGAGCCCCTTTCACCCTGCCACAGACAAGGGGAAGGAGTCGTTTCCTGGGCTCCAGTGTGCGGGTTCTTTGCTGAGAAACCATCTCCCAAAGGACTCTTTGGACTACCACGTTCCATCTTTTGCCTGTCAAACATCTAGAATCTCGTTTTCACTCTCACTTTAGACTGTTAGGCTACCCTGTTCCAAGCGCGGAGACCTCTCCGAGGATGGCGGCTACTACGCGCCGGACCTCACCACGACGCAAAAGACCCGCTCCCGCCCCGCCTCCGGCGTCCGCAAGATCGCCAAGGCGTCGTGCTGCTCTCCGTGGGCTTCGTCCAGACATGGGACGTGTGGCGGGAAGAGACATGGAAGACGGTGCATGTGACGTTCGCACTTTTGTTCAACAGTGTCACCACAGGCAAAAATGAAGAAAAGAATTCACAGGGATGCGAAACCAGAGTGCTGGTGGGGTGACGGAAGACCATTCTGTTGCCTGGGAACGAAATCCCAGCCCCAGCTGCATCTAGAAATGGCAGCTGCTTCCAGGAGGTCCTCAAAGAGGAAGATGCCGAGTCCTGGTCGATGATGGAGAGATCGAGATCTTCCTACTCTGATGCCCAAGAGACCCTGGAGATTGTCATTCCAGAGGACACGGACGCAGAGTGTCGTGTGGTGCTGAACGTTTTGGGAAGGAGATCCCGAAAAAGTGCATATAACTCGTCGTGAAGCTAAGAACATGGGATGCTGCCATGCCAAAATCCAATCCAACATGTTGAAGTCATTTTCGTGCCAGGACTGCTATGCAGGAGACATTTTCGTCATTGAGGTGCGAGACGAACCTTGACAACTGAGACAGATGCTGGACAGATCATGGACACAGATGGCTGAGCTGAGACAGATGGCTCATCGCCCCGTTTTCACCACGCCCAGCAATGACGTTGGGGTGTTCATCCACCGGTTTCCCGGTAATGGGTAGTGACCATCACCTCACGGAGTCCATTCTTTCTCGGTCGGAACTCCAAACTCACTCGGCCATGCGGCTGCGTGATCATCGCCTCCTTCTTGCATCTAATGGGTCCCATGGGGTCCCATGGGGTCCCATGGTCTATGATCGCCTAGAATATCTAACATCTGTGAGATTCTGTGGTGAAGAGTGAAAGAAGAACCATCTGCATCCATCTACCACCCTTTTCAAAGCTGAAGAGACCTGGACGCCGACCTGCCGCCGCGTAGACAAGGGGCCGCGTCGGTTTTTGTCCAGGTGAAAGGTGTGGAGCTGGAGCTGACGGTGCCTGAAGGTTGTACGCCCGGCGAAGTGATCTATGTGGATTTGCCGCGTGAAGGAGCTTCTTTTTCCAATCCTTGACCAGTACCCGACTCTACAGGTCTCCGAATTGGGAAATGCCCTGTTGGAGGTCGAACCATTGGTGAGCTGTAGAGTCGGGTGCTGGTAGAGAAGAAATGGCACGAAAAACGAAGAACGAGGGCGCAAGGGGTATACACGCCTCGGATCGATCTCTTTAGGAAAACCGGTGTTTCTGTAGCAGGGGAGAAAGGCAGGTGAAAAACAGGAATTGGCAGGTGTCGCGGCTGGATGGATATTTAGGTTCTCCTGGTGAGTTTGCGAGTTCGCGAGTTCGCTCGCTCTGTCAATGCCTTCGCTCGCTCTTCTGTAAACTCGAATGGAACTCGTTGCCCCTCTTTGAAGGAGGATCATCAGTGGTGACCTCACGCCCCGCGTCGGCTGGAAAGCAGCTTGGTCGGAGGAGGATTGGTTGGTGACCCTCATTCGAGAGCGGGGAGCTCTATGGGCAACTGGAACGCGAAAGCAGTGAGACAAATACAGCCTCCCTGGTAAACCCGTTCAACGGATAGGAGAATGTGTCCCAAATCGGGCTAGAATCAGTCACTTCATTTGAGACTCGGCGCGTCGAAGCTGACCTCAGCGGACCTCAGCAACTCTTTACCCCCCAAGCAAGAAAAGTTCGTGATGAGGGCTTGTGGAATGTGAAGGAACCACTCCTGCATTTTTCTTCTGTCAGGCTAGGTCATTGAGATATATTGAGATCACACACCATAAAACCATGGATTCGTTGCTTTTCTCACATGTTTTCCGCCGGACACGTGCCGTCCTACTTGGGGGATCCGCACAACCTCGCCCGGCAGGTCGGATCCTTCCTTGCCCACCCGACGTGTCACCCGTCCGGGGGGTTCACCGGAATTGGAGCGCGGGTGCCGAGGTCCACGTCTTCCAAGCATGGGAGCGCTCGGAAGGCCTGCCCTGCCGCTGGTTGGGATGGACACCCGGGTTTTTGGGGTGGAGAATGGCGTTGGTGGCCGCGCAGATGGGATGCCTACAGCCCTCCAAGCCATTGGGTCCCACCTTGGCACGCCTTCTTCGATGCAGAACCCCACCAAAACGCTCGAAGCCATGGCTGCCGGGGGGGTTTGGGTCCTGAAAGCGAAGCCATTGCGGAAGGCCTCTGGGCCTGGGTCCAGTCCGGGGAACCTTCGAGAAGAGGCCGAGAGAGAGCAGCGCCCAGTTTCGAGCGGAGAGCGGGTGGAGAGAGAGCAGCGCCCAGTTTCGAGCGGCCGGTGGTTTGTGGAGAGAGTCTGTCTGATTCAGTTCTGCCTTTTGAATCCATTTGTTAGGGGGCAGCATGGGACAGCTCTAGTTGGTGCATCTGCGGAGCTGGTTTTTGGCCAACTCCTTTTTTCCGATTTTGGGTCGTGGGCGGTCAAAAAGCCTTCATCCACCTTCAAGGTGTGGTGTGTTTGATTGCCTGCTTTCTTAAGACCACCGGACGGACCGTCCGTCCGTGGCGAAAGAAACCGGTGTGGCGCGGCCGAACAACACCGCCGGCTGCGCCAGATGTCACAGTCCATGACCTCGTCAACGGAAGTGGTGGAGATCTTCATTCCGAAGGCCAAAATCCGTGGGGCTTTTGGGCGAAACAACATCATGCCGTCGAAGAAAAACGTCCTGCACACCATGCCACTGTGGAACTATGATGAACTGGTGGCTTTCTGATTGTCTTCCCGGTAGCTCTGGTGTCTTGTCCAGGATGCCGGTCGCGTAGGCTTGCTGGTGTCCCAGAGATCTCGATGTGAACTCACCCTGCAGGATTGCTATCCTGGCGACATCTTTGTCGTTGAGGCCCTGGACCTCCTGGACGTGGAAGCCCTTGCTGTAGCTGATGTTGGAAGAACACCCGCCAAGGATTTGTGGAGACTTGAGAATAGGAAGTAATTCCTTTTTAAGATCTTTTTGAGATAGGGTGGCCAACCTCCAAGCCTTATATGGAATACGGATGCAGTATGGAATACAGATGAATCTCTACAACTCCAACCCTCGAATGGTGCTCGAAGATATTTTTGATGGGATGCACTTCAACTCATCCTTCCTTGCTTTCGCTCTCGGCTGTTGAACGGTCTCTGCCTTCCCGGAGGCCAAGGGCATTGAGCTGGAGCTGACGGTCCCTGAAGGGTGTCAACCTGGGGAGCTGATCTATGTGGACGTCCCTGTGCAAGGACCACCCTTCGACCCGTAAAGGGGTCGTGCGAGGCCTCAGGTCGTGCAGGTGGACAGGCAGTCTGGACGAAGCCGTAGCCCTGGGACGTTCCTGGGCCCGGCCTGGTCTGATCCCCAGCGATGGGCACTCCGAAAGCACCCAAGTGTTCCACCGTCAGACGCCCTCCGTCGACGCGGGGACCTGGAATAGGGAAGCGACATGCAGATCATGCAGTGGGGTCATCATAGGCTGGAACCCTGATAGCTTTCCAAGTTGGCCGAGACTGGAAGTTGGCAGATACCCGATGACCAAGATTCCCAAAGGATTCCCAAAGGATCTCATGAAATCATGGGGTCTCTCATGTGTGGACCTCTTCCAGTCGCATGGAAAATCTGAGAAATCCCAACAATCCCACTTCCGCAGGATCCTCTTCCGCCACGAGCCGCCAGCTCTCCGCAGGGCAGAAGTCACTGGGATGCAGATACATTGAGCTGAACGCACTCTGAACCAGATTTTGGAAGGAATCAATCCTGACTCCTGACTAAACAGTCCTAGTTCATTTCCAGAAAATATCCTAGTTACATTTCAATTTTCAAACGAAGACCAACTCATGAATACGTATGAATCATGATTACAAGGAAAGGGTCGCATGTTGGGCCGGGCGGCCGCGTATGCTTCATGCTTGACCTGTCCGATCCTCTTGTGAATTTTCTGAACTTCGTCCAAGGTCAAGTTCAGCCTCTGCCTGGCCCCAAGGGTCTTCTTCCAGACGTTTTTGGGTTTCTCTGCAATGAAGGGGTTGGTTGCAGGGTGCCCTTCCGCCCAGGCTCACAAGGAGGACACCGAACACCACGCCGCCAAGGAGAAGAAAGGGTTGTGGAACGCGCCAGACCGGATGGGTTGCAGAATTTGTGAGTGCTTTTGCAGCTCTGTGGTGGATCGGGGGTATGAGTCATTTCCCGACTTTTTGTTGGTTGCAGGGTCTCACAGTCTTACGCTGCAAGTGGATGGGGTATGAGGTACTTGTATCCTCCAAAATGAGTTATACGGTGGTGCAAGAGACGATCCATGAACTTCGTAACATGCGACCTGCGGCTTGCAGGAGCGCGCTCGGCAGGAGGCGCAGGGACCTGGGTGGTTTCTGTGGAGCCTTTGAAGAATCTCTTCAACAAAGGACTTCCAGATGTGTCAAAGGGTGTTGCAGGGATCCAAAAACCAACTTCAATGTGACCAGTGCGCAATTCCTGCATGTGGATCTGCATGTGGAGGCAGAAGCAGCGGCTCAGGCAGCTAAGGCCGCCCAGGCAGCCCAAGCTGCGCAGACGGCGCAAGCTGCTGCTTCAGAGGAGCTGCGCCAAGAGGCTGTGAGGCGGCAGAAGGCACACAGCGAGGCGCTAGAAAACCATCCTCCCACCCGGGCAGAGACAGACCACAGTTCTGGCAAAAGACAAGCGACCACGGAGAGAAGCATGCCAAAGCCTTTTCTAGCTGATCCTGTTCTTTCCGCACATCTCTCCTTCTTTTGTCCGGAGAGCGTGGTCGAGAGGTCCTTCATGTCACAGATCCCATTGATGTCGTGCCATGTTCAACGTGCCGTCGGCCAGGCCGAGCGAATCGCTCGCGAAGAGGCCGTGCGGGGCGTGTGGGGCGTGTGGGGCGTGTGGGGCTGGTTGCAGCGTGGCCGGGTGACGAGATGTGGGGCCCCCCGTGTCTCCAATAGGAGCCTGCAGGGGGGGGAACCTCAGGATGGCTAGAACAGTGCCGCAGGTGTTGCTCAACCCTCTAGAGTCTCTAGAGCTTGAGTGGCAGGTCGCCAGAAATTTGAGCCAGAAATTTGTTGACTGGACGAACACAGGAGGCTCGCATCAGAAGGGAAGAGGAGGAAAGGAAAGGGAAGGACGTCATCTCAGCGCCTGCTCCTCAGTGAATGCCAACTCCGAACGAAAACGAAGCGGTCCCACGATATTATTGTTATTTTTGTTATTCTTAATATACTATTATTCAAAAAGAGATCGGCTGAGAGGACTGCCCAAACACTCCAGTCATGAGTTAACTCTTGCATGTGACCTCCCAGTCAGAACATCAAGGAACCGAAACAGGTGAGGCGATGATCACTTCCACTCTCCGTGTCTTGAAGTTGTTCAGTGTCGAAGTCTCAGGTTCAGTGGCCAGGTTCAAGCCCTGCTGGCGGACGCCTTCACCGAAACCTTTCGAAAGGCCGATGCTGCGGAGGCCGCCGAGGCTGCGGAGGCGGCTTCCGCGGCCGCTTCCGCGGCGAAGGCAGCGGTGGGAGGGGTTGGAACTGGAAGGATGGAAGGGTCTCTCCAGGTGGATCTGGAGATGGGTGGGTGATTGTTATGGTGTTTTGGACTTTCGATTGAGAGAAGATGAAGGATTTCTGGAAGAGAAGCCTTGATTCTAAGTCTCGATCAGTACAAAGCCAAAGAATTGTTCTTCGAGAACATGGACATGACAAACAATTTTTTGGAACCTTCCAACTCAACGGGCCTTTAATCGACTACCCCTACACTACCTGTGGATCTCCATTGCGCACCCCTTTGAAGGTCCAGGTTTATCTGGCTTGTTTTGCTTCCTCACCGCATGTCAGGTCATTGTGGAAACAGGACCAGGCGGGGAAAACTGGCAGCCTCACCGCTTTTCGCATGCCGGTGGACGAACTCCCGCCAACCCGAGAAGTGGCGTACAAACTAAGGCATACGGAGGTTAGATGGTGCATGGCAGTGCTTGGTTCCCCGATCTTTCCTTTTGGGCACTGGCAACCCATGGCCCAAAAGCCCCCCCCCCGCTGCGGCGCGGGTGTTCCCGGTCCTTTCTTCTCCACCAGGCAGTGCTGATGCTGCGATCCAAGCGGATCCGCGCGAGGCACCCGAGGACGACCCCTCCCAGTCGCTCGTCAAGGCTCCCAGCCGCTCTGCCTCGGTGACGTCGCGCCCCTCGCGACGCTCCTCGAAGCGGAGCCACGAGGGCTCCTCGGCCTCGCAGAGCTCCTTCTCCATCCACGTGCAAGTGCCCTCGGGCGTGTTGCCGGGAGACCGTTTCTTCGTGGTGGTGGATGAGGTGGAGTATGAGGTGTGGGCGCCCGAGGGATGCACGCCGGGCGAGATGGTGGCCATGGACATCTATTCGGACGCCGAGAGTGTGGCGGCCTTGACGCTGTCCAAGGACAGTGCGCAAGCGACGGCGGCGGCCTCGCAGGGCAATGAGAGGAGGGAGGCAACGGATTCCAAACTGAGAGAACTGAAGGAGAAAGATCAGATGGAGGCCGCGAGGGCCACCACCAATCAATCAGAGCTCTCGGATGGTGACTCTGTGGCGACCGATGCCATTCTCATTCCGGTGGAGATTCCCGAGGGCTGCACTGCAGGGGAGACCTTCTTCGCGGAAGTCAACGGGGTGGAGTATGAAATTCTGGTTCCCGAGGGTTGCAAGGCTGGGCATTTGATCTACTTGGAGATCCCGGCCAAGCACGCCATTGGACGCTTCGTGGCGGACGAAGGCCAGCGAGCGCTGACCAACGCCGAGGTGCCGCAGATCGCCGAGAAGGACCTGGTGCCCAGTGAGGAGACGAGCGATAGCCTCTTCGCAGAGGCCGGGGAGGACGAAGTTCGGCGCCGATGTCGACGGAGTCGAGGGCGGATGCTTTTTCTTCCCAGTGCCAGGGCGGTGTCCTGGCTCCTTCCGCAAACCACTGCTTGCCATACATTATCACAAATGAACTAAGAACTCATTGGCATGTTGAAAGGCTTCCACCTGCCTGCTTTATTCTTGCGACACTTCCAAGCATACAGTTTTTGTTGGAGTATAGATAGAATGACATGTACCAATCCAAAAACACGACTATATTAGACTACCAGGACCCTCCAAGGGGTGTCCAATGGACTACCCCACACTACCTATAGGCTTCCATTGGGCACCCCTTACAGGGTCCTGGTATAGACGTCGTTTTCTCTTGGAAGATTCCCTTTCTGTTCTACATCGGACCTTTGACCTTTCTGTTTCTCGCACCCAACCAGGACGTTCGCGTCCCCAGACCTCGGGCGCCCTCTACCGGACCGAAGAAGCCCCCCCGTCCGGTGCGAGGTCTGTGTTCCAGAGGGAGCGATCCCAGGGTCCAACTTCGTCGCCGTGATCGACGACACGGAGTTCGAAGTGCCCGTGCCCGCCGCGAGCTTAGCGCGCACGCGCGCGTGGTCCGGGGCGCGTGGTCCGCGGCGCCTTAATCCGGAGGGTCCGGTGGCCGTTTTCGGGGGGGGTGGAGCAGAGTGGAGCCGAGTGGAGAATTGGGATCGGTGGTCGGGAGTTCAAATTGAAGGGAAGCTGCAGGTGGCAAACTCTGGCGCATCCATTAGCAAGGGTTCGTGCAGGATCAAGTTTGGTTAGGTTGGGTTGTGAGCGTCTTGAAAAAGAGGTCTTGTTCGGCAGCAACTCCGGCGAAAGGCTTTCCATTCACAGATCTAGATCTTTGCCCTCCGGCGCTTGCACGTGAAACCGAGCTGCTACCGGCTCACAGGAAGGCTTTGGGCCTGGTGACACCTTGTCCTTGCAGCTGCCCTCTGCTGGCCTCAAGAACGATGTCTCCTCCTCCGCCCAAGACTCAGAACCCTCCGGACATGGGCCTCTGGTGGGTCATGGCACCTGTGGGGCGAGAGGTTTGACCTCGGATCTCGTCTCTTCTGTTCATTCTATATAGGTGGGGACCAAAAACACCAGGGGTGTACGGAACGACCCCGCGACCGTCCGCAAACGCGCCCGACACCAGCTGCGACGGCCGAAAACGGGCCGCGCGGTTCTGCGATGTTCGTCTCCGGCTGCGAGGCGCTGCAAGAGGTGTGGGCCGAGCTGGCGAAGGTCCGCGAGGAGCTCAAGGAGGTCAAGGAGGATCGTCGCCGAGAGCGAGAACTGACGCATTTCGCACAGCAGTTCACCAGGCGGGACGGGAGTGCAGGTTTGGATGGGTATAGATGTCAGTGGTCTCGAAAGAAGCAAGTTTTGTATGACTTTACTTAACTTAGGGTTCACTACACAAGTTCTCAAACAAGATCGAGTCGACCAAGTTGTGGGCCAAATGACTCAGTGACCTGAGGCGGGGTTGGATTCGCGCGGCCTGGGCGACCGGATTCGCTTCATTCACACGAAAACAGGGACCCTAGATGCAAAGCGAGACCCTCGATCAGGGTGTGTAGCTCAAATAGCAAGACCTCCTAGGCGTCCCTATAGTAGAATACACATCCATAGTACCTCCAAAAGCCGTGGGGCGCTTGATGCTGCTGTATGTGCAGGTCGGACGATTACGATCACCTGGAGCCCCAGTCGCCTGGAGCTTCAAGCTTTGTGGAAATCATCGTTCCTCCAGATTGTCATGAAGGAGAGGTGGGTTCGGTAGGACATGGAGAGGTGGGTTCGGCCAGCACTTCTGCAGCAAAAGTCAGATTATAATTGACAATGAAGGTGTGTAAATGAGTCAAATTAGTATCAATGTTGATCAAGATGTCCTTCAGGAGACTTATTCATAGTTGAAGTTGATGATGCGGAGTATGAAATGGTTCTGGCCTCAGTGCTTTTCCTGTGCTACCATGGTGAGTTCATCTTGTTGCTCGTCAAGCAGCGACGGCCAACCTTCGCCTGAAAGCCCGAATCGAGGCTGTACCCGCAGGTGTGGTTCCTGGAGAACTGATCTACATGGATATGCGAGAGGCCTGGCACCGGGGATGGCACCGCCAAACTGGCTCCTTCAGCTGGTTCTTTTTGGGTGAGCGTTGACCAAATGCCAAGGATGTGTTTCCAGTCCAGTTCAAGGACTCTTCTGCTGAGTGAACACACATTGCCATTGTGAAGTGATCTCTTTTCCCACTTCTTTGACCAGTTTTTTTTTTGTAGCCCTGAAAAGAGTCTTAGAGGTCAAGGGGCTGAAGGGGTGTCCATTGGGTGGAAACCACCCACACGCTCGGCCCTCTCCTACCGGGCGCCTCCGACCGCCTCCCACCGCTCGACCGCCTCCGAGGGCGTGGGCGAGGCCGAGGACCGCTGGGTGGGTCTGGCGGACCGGCTGACGAGCAAGCAGAAGCGCAGCTCCCGACCGGCCTCGGGAGTTCGAAAGAAGGCGGGCTGGGAGAATGCCGGAAGGGATGGGATAAGGGATGGGATAAGGGATGGGATAAGGGATGGGAAGGGAGGTGTTCGGTCGGAATCGAGATAGATGAAAGCACGGCAGTCCATTTCGGTTCTCTATCTTTATTATATGACTCTCTCATTTCATATCATTTCCGTCCTTCGATGTGATTTGAGAGACATCACCAGAATACATTTTTTTGGGCACTTGGAACGACGGACTTGAAGTGTTTCAATGCATTTGATCACCGCGAGACCTCGGAAGGCTCACGCGACATGGTGGACCAGGGTGGAACTCAGGTTGAACGACTCCATCCCCATATGAGCTAGGCCCAGCTAGGCTCAAACTCATGGTCAAAGACGCCAAATCCATGATGACCTGCAACTCAGCAAATTTTGATGCTCACCAGCACCATGGATTCTGGGTGTCCACCACTTTGACACGGGGGTCCTGGCATATGTCTTTGTACAACCCTTGTGCATCCCGTTTTGAGGCCATGGAGATCATCGAAGTCGCCATTCCAGAGGAGCAGTCGGCTGATCTGGCTGATCCGGTCACACAAAGAGAGAGACTCCCAACGAGAGAGACCCCCAAACCGCTGCCCACATGGTCTCTAAACGTTCTGAATTCCAGTCACTTGGGTCATTGTACCCCGTTTCGACCATTTTGGCAGCTTGCAGTTTTGGACAGACTTGGCTTTGATCGCGGTGAAATTCACAAGTTTCGGAGGACTGCCATGCAGGTGACAGCTTCATCATTCAGGCAGACAGTTTCTGAGATGCTTAAAGGCCTTAGGCTTTGAAGCCTAGCCTGTGATTTCTCGGCTTCAGGAAGCCCTGTGTGCCCTTGCTTCTTTTGAACGAACGGATGGACAGAACCGAGAAACAGATGAAGCCCACCACTCTTAGAGAATTGAAACCAACATTGCCAGGTGGGAGGCCAAGATCTGGAGATGACGGTCCCAGAGGGCTGTCAAGCAGGTGATGTACTTCTCATGGACTTGCTTCCTGGAGGCGATGTTCTGAATTTTTGTAGCAAGTTTTGACCGGGTAGCCCGGAGAAAGAGATGCATGTTGATTGGCAGTTCCGGATCTTGAGCTTGCTTTTCATTGAAGCCTGCAGGAAAGATTGGAAACTCACGCCCAGCCTCAGCGGAATACAAGAGGCAGCCTGGCAGAATGTTCTGCGAAATGGATCGCATTGCCATCATTTCATGGTAGCAGCTTTTGCTCTGAGGCAGACGTTGGGCGCAGAAGCACAGGTGGCAACCGTTCAACGGGACCCCACCGGTGAGAGCGTTCTGAGTATTGGCGCTCAAGCCGAAGCCTCCCAGCGCGACGCAGCTGCCTCAGCTGCCTCAGCTGCGCCGGCGCCGGCGGACGCGAGTCGTCAAGAGGAGGCTGCGAGAGAGAGTCAGGAGGCCGACGGGCCGACGGGCATTGGGTCAATTGATTTGGGCCTGGAACCAACATGGAAGGGGATGGCGCAACCCTCCTGTTTGTAGAGGGGTCTTAACAAGAAGCCAAGTGAGTTCCAAGGAGTGTATGTTGGTTCTGGGGGCCCTATGGGTTGGTGGTTTGTTTGTTCCGAAGAAACCAGTAGGCCCAGTTGTTTTGAGATGCCCATGTCGCAGCCAGCTTCTACCTCAGCTGGCAGAAAACCAGACCTGGACCTTGCACTTGTTGCGTTGGTTTGCAGGCCGTGATCAGCTCCCTTGCAGAAACTGGCCCCTACAGACTTGGCATCTCTATCTTATCTGCCTCCGAACTCGTGGCCGAATCAGAGCCTTTCTGTGCCGCTGGGCGGCGACGGATCTTTTAAGCAAATGCAAGCACATGCCTCATGCATGTAAACTACATGAGAGTGCTCATTGTTTGATTCTGCTTGAAGTTTTCATACACCATTGGCGATTTTTCTAAAAACATCCAACCCGTGCCTGTCACGTCGAGGTTTGCCGAATTCCGGGCAAAGAGAAGGTGGAATTTGAGACCGCCTCACTGGGCGAGAAGGTGAACCCAGAATGGAACTCTGAACATGTGATCGAGGACTTCCCGCAAGGCTGGGAGCACTGGGACAGGCACTCTTGTCTTGGTCCAACCAGGCTGAAGACCAGCCTTCCGAACAGCCCCTGACCTGGCGTCCCAGCCACGCCAGGTCAAAGTTTGGTCTTCGAGGTGGTGGAGATGCGGGCGCAGACCCGAACAGAGCAGCTTGACTTGATGCGTGCTCGGACCACTCTGGAGGATTTCTGCCCTTACTCGCCCTTACTCCACTCACTCTCACTCACGTGTGTGCGGCCTACCAAAACCGACTCTTGTCCCCCTGCAGCGCTGCAGGGGTTCAAATCTTTTCCAACAGGGACCCCTATTTTAAGCGTGTAGGGATCATTTGGACCACGACCCTCGCCGCTGAGTGGCTGGTCTCGACTGGCCACGAGGGGTCTAGATGCTCTGCACTTGAGATCTTCTTGTTCTCTTAAAAGGGTCTCCCTTTTCAAGCGACACACAAAGATTGCAAGAAACCTTGAGCCGCGCGGGACATCGAGTAATCTCAGCGTTGGTCCCATGATCAGTGCTTGTCGTAAAGGAATGGTTGTTTGGTAAAGAGCCGAACAAACACCGGTGGTTGGACTTTGAGGGTTATATCAGTCTCTTGAGATACATCAGTCTCTTGGGATATATCCCATGACCATGGGGCCCAGTGATTGTTGATTGCTTTTTGTATAAAGGCTTTTGGGATCATTCCCGATGAGTAATGTTAAATCAAGACCAGAGACCAGCGATGCCCACATGAAACAGTGGTATCAAAGAATGGGTTGAAGGGAGAATCTACACAACACATAGAGATTTTTCGGGGGTGACAACCATGGTTTCCAGCTTTCCAGGGACGGCCAGGGACAGCGCCCAGGCTCGGTCGCATCGAGCTGCCCAGTGAGAGATTCTTCGCTGGCCTCGACGAAACCCTCAGCCTCACAGGCAGGAGAGTAGTGTAGGGCAAGAAGATGCAGTTTTCGCCTCATTGATTTATATACTTGAGGTAAGTAGGTAGGTCTGTATTTGTTTGGTTGGTTGGTTCGTTTCAAACACCTCCGCCACTCTTCGAACCCTCCGAGCCTCAGGCAGCGCCAGCGGCTCGGAGAGCGCCACCTTCGGCCTGCGCGTGAAGGTGGCGAACCTCGGCACCGCGGCCGCCTACGCGGCGCAGCAGGCCGCGCGCGTCGAGGCCGAGCGGCTGGAGGCGCAGCGGATTGCGGAACGGCAAGCGGAGGCAGAAGCGATGGCCCAAAGAGAGGCGGGGGGGTCCGTGGCAGAAGGTGGGACGTGTTGGAGCATGATGAGTCTGTGGTTTGGTGGGATGGGATAGTTTAAAAGGTTTTTTGAAAGGTCTAGAGGCTTAAAGTCTGAATTCTCCATGGTGTTGCAGGCTCTGTAGTTGGAGACTTTTTGATCATTGCCTTACACATAGGGCTGCTGGGCCCATTCGCCAGCGCTTCACGCCTGCACTCCTTGTATACGATACGGTGTGCCTGCAGGAAGAGGAGCGCGCACGAATGGAGGAGGCGCGAACGGCGCGGGTGTTTGGCATGATTTTTGGAAGGACTGGAGTCCTTCGATCAGTCCTTCCAAGTCGATGGGGATATGAAGAATGAGCAGTGATTGCTATTGAGTGTTGCCAGGTCGAAAGTGAAACGAGGAAAGTCAATGCGGCCCTGGCTGAGGAAGAGGCGGTCAAGAGTGACGAACCGACCGACCGTCACTCTTGTATTGAGGTGAATGTTCCGATTTGAACAACAACGTGTAGAGTCAGAATCGAGTAGAATCGAGTAGAACAATTCTTAAATGCCATTCAGAGTCCTTGGATGGAGCATGTCTTTGGGCGTCCTTGGGGCCACTTGGTCGATGTCCTTCCCCAGATCGGGATGGGCCACCGCCAGGCAGAGCGGCAACGCCAAGAGGCGGAGAAGCAACGCGCCATCGAAGAGGCCGGACATGGGTTCAGCATGTTGGACGGTGGGCGGGAGGAGATGCGCACGTGTTGGAGAACCTGGTCCTGGGCCGCAAGCAAGCATCTAAGAATCTGATACTGTATTTGCTTAAAATGAGCAGACGGTCTATTAGATAATATACCGTAATACCATACAGATTTAGCTGTTGAGATGCTTTCAATCACTCCGATGTTTCTTCACAAGGCTTTGCTGAACCATCATGTCAGGTGCGGGGCCCCCTGGGTGAACCACTTGGGCTTCTGCAGAGTGATGGACCTTTCAGTTGGATTCTGCTCATTCCACCACTTGGCCTGGGGTTTCCATGAGCACAGGTTGGATGTGGAGTGTCAACAGGAGGGTTTGTCCCCCCCAACTTTGGTCCTGAAAAACCACAGCCCAAGTCGTCGAAGTTGCGTTTGTTTCCGCCTGCCACGTCGTTTGCAGCCAACGGCGCCACGGAGTCGCTCCGTCATTTGAGCGGATGTAGACAGAGTCTACACCAACCAGGCGGAGAGGGAGAGAAGAGAAGAGGCATGGCATGGCATGGCACAAGTCGTTTTCAACACGCCACGTCGGTGCTAAACTCGGCGGAATGTGGGCGGACGTGACCTCGTGCGCTGCTTCGCTGTCTTTCATTTAGTTTCGACAGCTCAGTTCAAGCAAGAAAAGACAGGAGTTTCTCAGTTTCTCCTTCTTCGAGAGCTGAGATGAAGAGCGAGAAAGACCCTGTCAGGAAGAGCGAGAAGCGGCAAGACAAGCTGCCAAGAGAGCGAAAGAAGAGGTTCAATCATTGCAGATGCCGAATCTTTGTTTTTTTTTTGGGGGGGGATCACTTGCTGAGAGAACCATCACTTGCTTTTTGGCGAGTCGCGCGTTCCGGGAAGTTCCGGGAAGGTTTCGCTCCCGGAGATTCCTTCGTCGATCGCCCAACGGAACGATACCATTCACGTCCGAAAAGCCGCGTCCACGATCGCCGTCTGTCTTCCCGCCGGCTTCCCGCCGGAGTGAGTGGAGTCTACACGGTCAGGCCGAGCGTGAACGGCTGGAAGCCTTGAAGCAGCAAGCCTTGGAAGAGGCCGAAGTCGAGAAAGCGCGTCATTGTCATTGTTATTTCTCATTGAAAGGGAATAGAGAGATGGGACTTTTCAATTCAACGTTTGGAACATGAAGGACAAACTGGTGACCAATAGTGACCAACCTCAGCCAACTGTCTTGGTCGTTCGCGGTTCCTCTGTTTGCTTCCGGTCGTTTCATCAGGCGGAGCGAGCTGTTCGAGAAGAGGTGCCACGGTTGAAAACGCAGAAACAAAAGACAGAAGGGCTAGGAGGAGGAGTCGCAAGGTTAGGGGTTGCCGAACTTGGAGGTTACGGGTGCCTACTCCACTCACTGGATGGGACCAAACACCACGGGGGTGGATGTGGAACGATTTTGATAGGGGGAACCCCCAACCACAATGGGTAGACTGGTCTAGGGGAGACTCCATGGGTGACAAAGCGTTGTTGTGACGAAATCGCTGTTGGGATATGAGGTGTGTATTTGAATAGGGGGACGCCCCAAGATCGCCCCCGCTGGCTGGTAGACTGGTTGGCCGGGCCCAACATGGTTGTGTGCTTGATCAGCTCGACGAAGGGACCTGGAGCGTGTCAGGAAGCGCGTCTCAAGAGGGAGGAGGCCGAGCGAAAGGGGAAGATTGTGATCTTCGTGCGTGGGCCCAAGGGGCGAAGACCACCGCCGATCCCGTGGCCGTCTTCGACGAAGTGATTCTGGGCGATTCTGGCCAAGACGAAGTGGTCTAAGGACGGTGATGAACGATGAGACCGACGAGCTCATGGCGAAGGCGGATGGCGACCGTGGCGCTTTGGGTGAAAATGACGAAAGGTACCGACTGGCAGTTGCTGACATCCAGTTGAACCACCCAATCTTCCTTCGCCCCAAGAAGGCCTGTTTTGAAGGTGTCCCCCCAAAAAATGGGTGCTCGAATTCCTTCCACCCAATTCGGAAGCATCGAATTCGCCGGTGGCTGCTCTCTCGTCGGTCTCTGCGATCGGTGGGTCCAAAGGAGTGGCTCTCGTTGCGACCGCACGAGAGGTTGGAAGCATGGGCGCCATCCCATCATATGTGCCACTATACAGGGTGGTGTTTTTCGGTCTCTCAACCTCTTTTGGCTGCTTCCATCGATGGTCTGCGGGTGTCGTTCGTTTTTTGCCCCGCGATGATTTGAGCATCGAGCATCGGCTTCGCTTCTCGTGTGGTGCAGCGCAGGCCTCGCTCAAGCTGGCCTGCAAGGTCTCGGAACTGGCACAGGAGATCCCGGAACTGGGAAGTCGAGTCAATTGAGGGTGATGTGAAGTGATGCTTTGCCTATTGGATCTATTGGAATGTGAATCAATCAGAATAGGAGGTGGAGGTGGTGGAGGTGGAGGTGGTGGAGGTGGAGGTAGAACGCAATATACTCTTGTCACAGCCATTTTCTCCCCACTCTTGGCTGTCACTGACTCGAGATCTGCTTAGCAGACCCTTGCCTTATTTACACCGTTTTTGGGTCCAAGACCAGCAGGAGCACATCCCACCGTTCCACAGCGCTCCCCTCCACCGCTCAGCCAACCCTCCAGGTTTGCATCCGCGAGGCGCGGCTGTCTGTGGCGCCGGCGATCTTCTCGGAGCCAAAGCCGGAGCCGAAGATGGTCCGTGGCAAGCTGGCCGCTTGGGGTTGGATGGTGCCGGCGGCTTTCTTTTTCGGCGCGAGAGATGTCGGGCGGGATGGGTTTGGGGGCGGCGTTTTGGTGGGTGGATGGTTTTGGGGCGGATGAGTTGAGGGGGGGCGGATATGTGTTGTTTTCTTTCTTTTTCTCGAGGGGCGTCGTTGGATTTTTGGGATGCGCCGTGGCAAACGGGATGCGGGGTTGGACATGTTTCTTTATGTTGTGTCTTGGTGTTGGGCTGTGATTAGAGAGGGGTTAGTTTGGGCTGCTGGAGGGCTTGGCGATTTCGCCGGGTGGATGTGGTGTGCAGCTTTGGAAGGACGGTGAGTGTTTTCCTGTTAGCCGCTGCACGGGGTTTCTGGATGTTTCGGTGTGGCTCCGAATCACCCAAGCCTCTGCTGCTCCGGCCTTGTTTGGGGGGGGGGGGGTACTGAAGACCGGTCCTCCCGGGGTCGTCCCGGGGGTCGGTGGCACCGGGTGAACCTTCACCCGGCCGCCGAGGAGCTGCGTGAACGCTTTCAGCGGCTGGGGCGGCAAAATGGAAGGGGATTCGGGGGGACGAGTCGGGTCAAGGGACGAGTCGGATTGGAAAGGTGCCATGAAGGGAGGCCACCTGGGTGGAGGCCAAGTCACCAAGGATGAAGGGTTCAGTGTGTTTGGTTTCAACGCAAGACCATGGTGATGACCTGGACCAGGTGGTACTTGTCGGAGTAGTTTCTAAATGCTTTTGAGGGGCAGCATCAAGAAGCTGTGAAAGGTTGTGAAAGAATGATGCCAAATGGAGTTCTTGTGCCAACAGCTCAGCTTCTTTGGACTGCCTTCAAGACAAGGCTTCCTCCAGAGGATACTTTGCTGGAAGCTGGCGTGGAGGTGGGCTCTTCCTTGCTAGAAGCACAAAAAGCATTACAGCAAAAGTCCACGGTCGCGACCCAATTTTTGTAAGGTTCCTGGACAGTACACAATTATCTCTTTGAGTGATTGAAACAGAGAACATTTTGATGCAGTCCATGTTCCCTTGGCATCGGCCAGCCCAGCCGTCCGCTTGGCCGTTGCCTCGCAGAACAACGCAGTGCTCAGAGCCAAAATCAGTCCTGCCGTCATCACTGCTTCCAAGGCGCAAGCGTGAGCCAAGCAGCAGAGCATGGAAAGGGTACCCTCCAACAATCAAATGGTTACGTGGATGGAACCTTACAATTGGGAAGACGCTTTTCCTTTGCGCCACATCTTACCCTGTCTACTGCCTCGTCATACACCACCAACCCACTGCAGCATCGGGCGAAATTCTTCTCACCGGAGGGTGCCATCCACGAAGTGCCATGTTTCTGGGGCGTGGGGTTTGGGTTCTTGATTGGTGCTCGGTACTCGTTTGTAACTCCCCCTCCGCCTTTGGATCCATGCCATGTATTTCCATGTTTACAAAATGGTTACAAAAGAAAGCACCTCCAAAACCCCGTAAGACCGCTCTTCTTGGGCATTTTCGAGCTGATTCTTCCTCCAGAAATCGTCCCATGAACGCCAGGCGGGACGGTTTGGGCGAGTTGTTGGGGGGTGATCTCCCGATGAACGCCGTCCAATGCGGCGTGGCGAAGGGTGGCTGTATGGCTGTATGTGGCACCCAGAGCGCAGAGCGGCGCACCAGAGTTGACCCCGGTAAGTTGACCTCCCCAGTCCAATCTGTTCATTGTCGGGACCATCTTGTTGGACAATCGCTTTGTCCCCCGGTGACACCATATGAAGCATGATCCCCTGCTGCAGGGGCCAGGATACAATGTCACCGCATTTTAAAAGGAACCCAAGAGCGCGCGTTGGCCAGGATTGCACTGCAAGAATATGGAATGCAGAGTCGGAGCCCCAGTCGCACACGCCGGTGTCGCCCAGCATGAGCGGAGTGGCGAACGTGGCCGGAAGCAGCATCCGTCGCCCGGAATTCCTTCGCCCTGGTTGCGAAGGACCGGCAGCTGCGAACTCGTGCTCGAGGGCCACAATGAAGCAGTTTGCACCACCCTGAGTTCTATTTTTACTTTATAAGAACGCAGATGAGGGACCTTGGTCAAAAGGTACGGCATATCATTGGAAGGAAGGTAGACCCAATGACTGTACGTATTTCTTGATCAGGTTCGGCCTGTATCTCTCCGGACTGCAGATATGTTCAGACCTTAGTGACCGGAACAGAGAAAAACGACAAAAACGGAAGAAACTTCAAGAAAAGAGACCTCCATCAACCAGGACCCTCTAAGGGGTGCCCTGTCTGGAAGCCTATAGGTAGTGTGGGGTAGTCCAGCCAGGACTAGGCTAGGCCACACTACCGGGGTGTCCTGGCTGGACTACCCCACACTACCGGCCGTTCGGCTTCCAGACCGGGCACCCGAAAACGGAGGGTCCTAGCATTGATGGTGCGTTTTCTTTCGTTGATTTTGCAGGTGGCCACTTCCTCGGAAGACAGTTCTGCCAGGCAGTGTGGCCAATTCTCCGCCATCCGCCATTGCTTCGAGTGGTCTCTTTAGATCTCTTTCTTCCCACAGCCTCCAAAACGCCTTGAAGCGTAAAGAAAGTTGTTGGACAATGTAAAGACATGGCCAACACCAGCTTTTTGGTTCCCTCTCGTTGGGAGACAGCGAACCACCAGGGACCAGGGCTGTTTCTGCGTGCCGCCACACCCCGGACGCGTAGGCTTTGGTACGTGGACAGCGGCCGATGTGCTCGCGTACTGCGAGGGGGCCGAGCCCGGTGAGTCACCGAGCCTGAAAGAGGAAGTTCCTCTTCGAGCTCCTTTAGGGCATGTCTTCGGGCTTGGGTCATGGCTTCGACCTGCTCTTAGCTCCTGGACTTCTAGGAGCTCAGAGGACTGAAAGAGTGAAAGATGTTTTTTTCTGGAACGGAACCACCTGCTGAAGGCTTGACCACAAGGAGGCCGTATACTCGGCGGCCTTCTCACCGGACAGCAAGCAGGCGGAGCATTGAACAGAGCCCGGTGGGGCCGTAGGGCCGCTCCAAAAGCCCAGAGGTTTCGCATGCACCTTAGACTAATGCATGACTAATGCACCTATAGCCCCATCATGGCTTAAATTTGTCCTGATTTCTCACCCGGCAGGTTTTTTTTCTTTAAAGACAAAAACGCAGCTTCATGAGTTGATGTTCATGCTCATTCTTCATGAGTTGGGCAGGTGGTGACCGCTTCGGAGGATGGCACAGCGAAGATTTGGGTCGTGAAGCTGAAGCCTCAGGGACCATTCAGTGGTACTCCAAATAGGTCCCTCAACTCAGCAAGCATGCTTTCAAAGGTTTCTATAGATCATGACTATAACATGGTTGTGGAACTTAGACAACAAATGCCACGTAATTAAAAGGAAACTCTGGGCTCAAGTCCCAGCCATTGTACTTTTTTGGCAATGCTTTTGCCAGAGGAGTGTTTGAACATTGATGCAAAAAAGAGCCTCCAGGGTGGGACACTGGTGATGCAAGACATCAGTTTCTGAAATTTGAGGACTGGCTTGTGCAAGCTGACCCTGAAGGGGCTGCAAGCTCAGACGTGCTGCTTCTTGCCAAGCTGCCTTGTTTCCCCTTCCGACCGCATGGAGCATTGAGCATCTCAGGCACAACTTCGCAGTGCTTTGGGCGGCCTTCTCTCCTGATGGTCACTCGACCGCTCAGCCAGGGACGTGCCACATGCGGCAGCATTCGCGAGAGACTGGAGATGTGTCCTCTCTTACCTCGCACCTCCTTCGTCAGCTTTGGGTCACAAGCGGAAATTCGCAGGAAAAAGTCTTCCTCCCTACCAATGTAGTAACCCTTCACCCATCTTTGTCTCGTTCATTGAATAAGCCCGACCAATCACATGCGCATGGCCACATCAACCCCTCCTGACCCTCCAAAAACGAGCAGATCCTGCCGGATCGCCCGACCCCGCCCGACGACGACCCCAGGCCGCAGCGTCACCACGACCAGTAGCGATGGCACCCTGAAGATTTGGAACGTTCCTCGCCGGAGTCGGCCGTCGAAGGAGATCGGACGTCGGGCCGTCGGCCGTCGACGTCCCAGGACGTTTTTTCCGAAGCTCTTGGCAGGGGGGTGAAAATGGTTATATATATATATATATGTTATGTATGTTTTTTTTTAGAAGATAAGTTATCTTAAGTTATGGGTATAGATGACAACTGGTGAATGGGTGTCGGATCTGTGACAGCTTCTTTGGGATTCGACCCCGGCGGCTTGCGGGATTTCGCCACCACGTTCTGGTGGATTCGACCGCCGCCGCCACGGTCCCACGAGGCCAAGACGGGGGTTTGTGCTCGGGCGCTCAGACGGTTCGGCCGCTTTAACCCGGTAGCAAGGACGGCTGTGCTGCATGAAGAACGGAAGGATTGGACAAGTTTGGACGGTTACTGTCAGTTTGAGTTCTCAAAGACTGGCGAAGTCCAAGAGATGGAGAGAAAGGGATGAGGTGATCTTTTGGACGCACTGAGGACCGAACCCTGCTTGGGCAGAAGCCTGTCTATCTTGCCTCCTTTGCCACGGATGGAAGCACATTTGTCACAGCCAGCGCAGTCCTGAGCACCCCAAACGAGGGAAACGGACAGTTCTGGGAGAAAAAGTACTTGTTCGTAGTAGTAATGGGTGATCGTGGTGTGGCAATGGAAGTGTCCAAGAGCAGGCTTGACAGACATGTCCTGACCAAAATTCATCAATCCAACATCACCAACAGGAAGGAGTGAGCATTGAATACCAACGCAAGACAGAACTGAACAAATAGCGACTCCCCCCACATTTTTGACAGTGTTTGATGGTGCATGCATATCTTTGGCCAAGAAGATTCTAGCTTACGCTCCAAGAACACATACTATACATACTTTGAGAAAGAGAACCCAACGGGTCCCCAACGTGTCTTTCTCTCGCTCTCCACTGGCTCACCCAATGTCGCCGGTTCCTCGTCCGGAGCTACCGGGACCGGGACCGGAGGTGGCGATGCCACCGCCAAGATTTGTGACTTGGTGCCCGGATCCTCAAAGAAGCACCGAAGACCTCACCGGCCGACCCGAAAAGCGACCGAAAGCGAACAACTCGGAGACTCTGTACCAGGACCCTCCAAGGGGTGTCCAATGGACTACCCCACACTACCTATAGGCTTCCATTGGGAACCCCTTAGAGGGTCCTGGTATATAGCGTACATAGCGGCGTTGGCTTCCTTCGCTCCCGGTGTCGTCCCGCCCTTCGGTGAGGACCGGTGAGTCGAAGATCGTGCTCAGCGGGCATGACTCATTGGTCCGGGTCGCCCATGACTCATCGGTTCACGGGGCGGATGCATGACGATGCTGGGTTTGTCCTGGGTCGTTTTTCGGTTGGCTTTTTTACGTTTTGACCAGACGCTCCGTTCACAGCCCGACTGGGTCCCTCAAAACCACGTATCAGGGTCCAGGAGCGTCTGGGTTGACCTCAAGCAACCAGCAGCTTTGCATGATTTGGCACGTGCATGGTGGAAGGGCAGAGTGCACCTTGGATTGCTGCTGGAAGATCTTTGTTGACCGTTGTTTTTTGTGCTGTGTAGGTCCTTGGTGCCTCATATGCACCCTCCTGCCCACAAGCAGAGCAGAAAGAGGAGAATGGCTAAGCCAACGGAACTGACCTCAGAGATGAAACACAGAGATTTGTCTCACCGATTGATGAGTCGCGGAGACTGAGACTGAGACTGAGGTACTTTCTGCATTCTGTTTCACTTGAATTCGACGAATTATGCCCGATTTTACAATTCGCCGCTTCCCTCGTTGGTTGGGAAGATGGTATTTATTTTCATGGGCTCCCACAGTGGACTCCCGAGTGTAGCCAGGTGCTTTGATTTGCAGGTGTTTCACCTGAAAAGACAGCAGAAAGAGTGTGAACTCTTTTGTGGCAAACAAAATCGAAGGAAGATCATCAGAGCGCTCATGTGCTCCATTGAACTCTAAATCCTCAGAATGAACCATTGGGACCCATTGGGAGGTCCTTGACTTCCGACGTTGGACTTCGAACGAAAGTCCTCGAAAGAAGGCTCACGCTCACAGAGACCCTCACCCTCTGATGTGTGGCACAGGGCCGAATCGCCCTTGGTTGGTTTCATTCGTAGAGGACAACGCCCCGGATCGTGAACCACCCCGAGGTATATGAGACCCTGATTGACCCCTCTATGGACATGATGGATCCGCACCCTCCAATTGGCTTCGGAGGCCATCGCCTTCACCCTTTCCCGTTCGCTTAAACTGGCATCTTCGGCACCGGCTTGGCTTACAGCAACGGCACTCGCAGCTTTTGTCACCGCGGTGTCCCTCCGAGTTGGGACCCTCAGCGCCGTCTCACGAAGCTGCCAGGGGGCGGTGATGAAGAGGCTGTTCTGATGCCAGCATCCATGGTGTGGGACAGGGAATTCAGGATCAGGATCCCTTCTAAGATCCTATGTATAACAAGCTAGTTTGGTGCTCTTGAAACATCCTGCAACTGCCAAGTATTGAAACGCCTTGTAGCCACGGAACTGGAACATGGACCCCGAAAAAAGAATGCCCCCGCCCCTGAGAATCAGGTTCCTCTAACAGGTGTGTCCATTCCACTCTCAAGCTTTAATAGCGATGGCCTCCAACCTACTAGCACCCTGACTTCTTTTGGAGGCGGAAAATGGACCCCTGGATTGGACTGGAGCTGGGACGCGTTGGGGGCTGGGACGTGTCACCTCACACCACGACCTTCACAGCCCAACTGGGTCCCTCAAAACCTACGCAGATTTGAGGGTCCGGACCCCTCCATATGAGGGTCCGACCCCTTTGATCTGAGGCTGATATGGGCTGATATGAGGGTCCAATGTCGCGTCTGGGCCAGACCCTGCAGGGTCCGTTTCATGTCTCGCCCAGGGTCGACCCTGCAGCATCCTCATGTCTCGCTGGGAGCCACAGAAGTCGATGTGGCGTCTCAGGTGAGGCACAGGAGGAGCACAGGAAGAGGCTGAAAGGTCGGATTTCCATGAAAAAAAGACGTTCAGATACCAGGACCCTCCTGTCGTGGTAGCCTGGTAGCCGCTAGCCGCTAGGCTTTCTTGGCTGTGATTCAGGGTGTCCATTCACCACCCCGACTGGGGGTCCTGGTATGTGACGATGTATCAGACAATTTGCTGATGTCCGCAAGGAGAAATTCCAGTCAGGACATAGAACAGGAAACGATGAGGGGCTGGACGTTTCTGGAGGAAATGATGTGTCCGCTCCACTGCTGTGAATTCTGTGAATCCCTATATGGGACCTAGACTTCTTCAGGTCGTAGGAGATGGGGATCGATATTTGGAGCGTCCACCAGAAGCAGTTCGGTGAAACCTCTTTTAGGCAGGCAGGCAGGCAGGCAGGCAGGCAGGCATAGGCCCCTAAACCCCTTGGAAGATCCATTTTGGGCTCTAAGAACAGCCACATCCAATGTAGTTTGTGGGAGTGTGTTCGTGGGCATTTTCTTTCGCTGGGTCGCTGGACGGAGGTGCTTTGCGTAGCAGCCGCCTCTCTGTCGCCGCAGCGGTTCTGACTGCACTTTGGGCAGTTCAGGCGACGCACACGGCAGGTGTTGGTGGCCGACGATTGAGGTGAGAAAGCCTAGGCCTTTCTAAACGGGAACAGTTTGGGTTCAACAAATCGCATAGTTGGGGCAGTTCAAAAAGGAATGAGTTACCATCATCACTTTTTGATCCAGAGGCAAGTCCATGAACCAGATCTTTCAGATTGGCTGTTCTTTTGGCCCACTGAGAGGAGCAACATCTGAAATGCCCCCCCAGAAAAGTTCAGAAACGGCATATAAGATGGCATAATATATACTACCGGACTGTATAGGGATCCAGATATTTGGCTTGACAATACCTATCAACTCTAAGACTCTAACTAATCTCTGTCATCTTCCAACGTTGACCAGAATTTCCTCTTCCCCCTGGCCTGCCGCTGGCTGTTCTCTTGGTCCTTTGGCACTGGTGAGGCCTTCGTGGCACCGCCTACACGCGTGTCGGTGGAGGATGCCAGGAGCGTCTCGCTCCTGAGGGGTCAAGCCAAGACCGTGGAGCTGGAGCCTTGGGATGCCCGGGAAGTGGCGAAAGACACAGTGGGAAGTGGACATCGCTGTGATATTTGGGTGATATGAGTGTGTATTTCTTGCCTACGAGGTTAGGATCGAAAGCAAGTTTAATAGGGAGATCCCCAACCAATGTTGTTTTTTTTTTGGGTCCTTGTCGTTTCGCGCATGCATCATATGCAATGGCTACCCTCTGCTCAGCGCAAGGTAGACATACTAGAATTAAACTCCTCAACCTGTGCAAGTGGCATGAAATCTATGTAGATGCAACCCCCCGAATCGTCCCATTGAAAGGACGCCAGGAGGCTTTGAGGTTGTAGGACCTACGACCCTGGTGGAAACAATCCCACAGGCTCCGACAGGTGGCCGAATCGTGGGGGAAAATGAACTGTCCAACAACATACGAGAGCCAAGGCGACGAAGTCCCTCGGTCAACTGAAACTTTTGCCCAATGCTTGGAAGCATTGAGCCACTTGAACAATTGAACAAATGAACGGAGTTGAGTGTTCAAATCACTTCGAGATTCGTCAGCTTGCACCGAGTCTTCTCTTAACACATATGCCGAGTCACGGTTCTTTGTTTTCTTTTTGAGTGCTCTCATGTAAACAGGCATCATGGACTTGGTGTCCAAAGCAAATGCAACGTACAACTCTAGCAAACTGGATTGATCCTCTTCTGCAGCATGCCACCCAATCTTCTCAAAACCAACGCAAACATCGGAACGTGAAGACACGCCCGAATGGCATCTCCGACCGTTGCAAAAGGGGCACGTTGAACGGTCCTTTTCGCATAGAACGAATCGAAAACTGATGGTCCACATTCGCTGCAAGTTGCGACCACCCTTGTAAACACCATCTTGTTGTCTCTCAAAGGGTTTAGGTGCGTTTCTGCGATTCCTGCGCAGTGAGTCTCCTGCGGATGGAATGGGTTTGGTCCTCCGCTGCCCGATCTGCCCGTGCCCGCCAGACCGGTGCCTTTGAGACGCTAAAACGTGCTTCCTTCGTTCGCGTTTGACTCGTAGAGATGATGAAGCGAAGAACCTTCCGGAGATTTGTCCGGACTTCCAGGCCTGCAGGCCCAGCGAAACGAAGGGATCACGGTTCTTATTAAGACATGAATTGTTCTATTAAGACATGCTGGTTCGTAATGGAAGGGCATTGCAATTGTAATTATGGACATTGTAGTGCAAGACATGGTAGTCGTATTCCGTGTTTTGATACTGGTCACGGTCCTGCGGACCCTGTTTCTTTAATGCCAAGGCCAGCGGTTGCCAGCGATAGCATCGGCGCCACCGTGGCAGCCGCCCGAGGGTGACGAGAACACAAAGACCAGGACGTGTCATTGACCCGCCTAAAACATCCTAAAACAACAAACATGGTGTGGACGTCGTTGGAAAAGAAAGATCGAATTGTTTGCATCGTTTCCTGGCATCCTTCAACCTCCTGCCCAGGTGGGCGTTTGGGCCGTGGCTGGTATGACAGCCATGGCACGAACTAGATTGCGTGCTGAGGCGTGACCGACCACATCCCTTGGTGATCTCCCTAGGATCGATTGCAGCTACAGCCAACCCACAGATCAGCTGCACTGGATGACCATGCTGACGCAGGAGGTTATGATACTAGAATATACTAGATGTCATCTAGGCATCACATTGCATATCAGACCATTCATACAAGTCACTCCGTGTACTGAATAGGCCGGCCTACATGGACCCCCTTTTCCACCACTCCAACTGATGGGGGGGGTCCTATGCCAGGTCCCAAAGAGGTCGTGTCTGGGTTTACACCAAGTTATACTCCCTAGATCCAGCGCTGCTTCGGTCTGAGTCGGTTGGTCTTCGCCAGGCCAAGGAGGCTGAGGCGAAGGAGGAGCAGAAGAAGCCCTTCAACGTTTGGGACTGCCAACCACCGGCTCCGGTGTTTCGTACGGTGGGGGGTGACGGCGAGTCAAGTGGTTCGGGTCGAGTCGAGTCAAGTCGGGCCTCCCGAGGTGGAATTTCCGGAGGGTTCAGTCCGGCGAGTCTTGCGTCCAACAAAGAACACCTCCAAGAGACCCGGTCGACGACTCGGCGTTGGCTTCGGGGTCGGCTTGGTTGGGGCCGAACAAGAAGAGGTCTGGTCGCACGAAGAAGAACAGCGGGTCCTTTGGAGACCACGAGGCCGATTTTTTGGCCAACGCACTTTTAACCCTTCAACATCACCAGAAAACTGAAATCATTCCCACCCGATCGACTTCAGCATCCCAGGAGCCTGACACTTATGGCAACATCTCCATGGATGACGTGAAGAAGTATGGTGCCGTCCCGCGCCGAGTGGAGAAGCATTCCATCGCGACACATCGCCGAAAAACGCGACCCAGTCGGTGTCCTCTCGTTCTTGCCGTGCTTCCATGCCCTTTTGACACCTTGGGCATACGACTGTAGGCTGGTACCCTGTCGTACGTCATCACCGAGTTGCTCTTCTGGGCGATTGCCTTCCCCACGGAGTGGGGGCAGCTTAGATCTGAAATCCAGCTGCTCCAGCAACGATGGGCCTGTTGGAGCTTCGTGCTTGCAGGATCTTACAAGGTCCTCTGGAACTTGAATCCCTACCTCGACTCGAGAAGTTTCTGATGTTTCTGGAACGCTGCTGTCAGTGTGTCGCCCCCTTTCCTCCCAGAAAAAGCATGTTGCAATTGCCTTTGGTGTCTTCTTTTTCTCAATCCCTTTATCCCAATCGTTTCTCGTTCGCGCAGATTTTTCTGACCTCAGCGCATGAGAATGAGGTGCATTGTGTACCTGAACACTGCCGGACACTGGCCGGACTTCAGCAAACCTGAGGAGTCAGAAGATGCATCCCATCGGAACGTCGGTTTTTTCACCAAGAGGAACGTGGATCGGAACAAAAGCAAACCGTTTCTTTGCTTCGGGATCGGTCAAAACTCAGCCCCAACACTCCCAGGTAGGTCAACCAAGGTCTCATCCTAAAAGTGATCAAGACAAAGAGGACAAGCTCAAGGGTGCCACTGCTATAGGGCCGGGTCGCTCAACAGGAAAGGGATGCGTTTCTCGACAGACTCCACGCAGGAGAGCGCGGCTGTCTTCGGCCTGGTCTTCGCGGCCTCCAACATTGTGCAGCCCTTGGGGAAGAGTAGTGGCCCATAGAAATAGGACGCCCCAACTCCCAGACAGTTTCGCCGAACCAGTTCCTCGCGCCAAACCCGAAGGCGTTTTTCTTCAGGAGTCCCTCCCGTTTTCCTCCGGAGCGATGGGAGGGATGGTCGCGGTGCCGTCGTCGTGCGCGTGGACGCGACAGGCAAGGCTCTTGTTGCCACTCCGATTTGGTGCGGCTTTGGCCATGGCACCTTGGGTCTGGGGCTCTGAGTCCAAGCGAGCGAAGTACTTGGGAGCTGTGACTTCGGGGCTGGGAGTGTGGGGGACTTCGACGTGGTTGTTGTTGGTTGTTCTTGGAGAAGTGATATAAGAATGAATAACTAATGCATTCCTAGCTGGAGAACACGGCCAAACACACATTCAGTTGTTTGATGTTTTTCTTTTTTAAAGCTTTTTGAAAGTCTTGGTATCATTCGATTCAAAGTCAGGTCGGTCGGGACTTGGATCGGAGTTTTCTTGGCTGATTTAGCTAGGTGGACGAGAACATCATGCAGAAATTCTTTAAGCAGGAGGAGGTGCTTCGACAGCACTTGCTTTCTTCGACAGCACTTGCTTTCCTGAAGACGGTCGATTTTCTGGGGCACAGTAAGCATTCAGCTTGGGGACCCTGCAGCTGTTTTGGCCGTCAACAATTGAGGCTACTCAGTTGACCCAAACCCATGTTGTGCACAGAAAAGCAGTGATTCAGACATTGCCTGCAATTACAGTAGCTTTAGGATCGTTAAGGCGATTTCAGGTACTTTCATTATATCTCCTTGTTTTGTGGTTCTACACACTTCTCTCCTCTCTCTTGGACTGGATCCGTTTCAGGGAACCACTTCTTTTCAGACCCAAACTTCTGCTCTGCTGCTCTCTGCGCAGGCCAAGGAGGGTGCTTGAGCTGTTTGAGGTGCTTGAGCTGCTGTCTTTTTATACGCCCGGGAGCCCCGCCAGACGTCCTCCTTGATGGGACTCCGGACGAAGGGGGGGCGTGCGGGACCGAGCCGCGCGGCCGGACGAGGCCAAGGGGCCTGCTGCGGCAAGGTCTGCAGTGGCCGGGCGCCTGAGAGTCGGTGGTCAAGTGGGGCGGTGGTGGTTTCGCTGCAACTCATTGCGTTTGGAAGGAACGGCTGTTGACATGTGTACTGGTCCAAGACAAGGGTCGGCTTGCAGATTCCGTTTGGTATCTTCAGGTTCCATGGAATCATTCTATAGGCAGTTTATTTCTATCTTTTACAGTAACACACACGCACATCTCCAAAGGGCTATTGAGAATCGAAGCAAGAGAAAGGAACACTTCCTGGGGGTAACCAGTCATCGCCCAGATTTCACTCAAGTTCACCCGAATTCATTCCCCCAAATACGGTGTTTGCAAAACTGAAAGTCAAACTGCTCGAACTGTCTTGGCCCGCTTCTGCCAAGGTTTGAGGCCAGTTTTCCGTCACCAGCTGAGGAACTTGCCAAGGAGGTCTCCTTTTCTTGGAGGGAGACCAGGAGAAAGAGTTCTATGATCAGTAATTCAGCATCATATTCTTAACTATGTTGCTTGGCATAAATCAGTCATTGTTTTTTCTTCTACTGTATTGTTCTGGGCAGGTGACATTGGCTGTAGCCCTTTCTTTTCGCCATGGGAACCCGCGCGGCGTTGTCAATCCAACACGCCGCGTATCGCTGCGTTCCGGGACTCGCGTGGCCCCAGCTGTCAGCTAAGCTGGACAGGAACAGAAGCTAGTTGCAGGTCGGTGGACATGAGGGGCAGAGCTCGATGGTCGATTTTTATTTGACTCGATGTCATTCTCCAAGTATGGAAGCGTGTCAGACAGATCCTGAAGATGCCTGAGGTAGGCTTAGGGAATGTGTTCCTTACATTCTTCTCAACGACTCCATATAGTCTAATCCATTCTCATTCAACATGCCTGCCGTTCTGAAGAAACCTCTTTTCCAGAGCCTGAGAGGAGTGGAGAAAGGGTGCGCCGGTCCGGTGACGCCACGTCGGTCGACATTGACGTCGGTGCCTCGTGTCGCCCGGGGTCGGTGACCCAACACGCCCGGAGACGGAAGGGAAACCCACGGATGCAGATGTTTTGAAGCCAAGCTACGAAGATGCGATGTTGTCGGATGATATCAAAAGATGACGAAACGAAGAGGCTTACTCTTCCAAGAGCAGGTTGTTGTTGCTTCTGGACATGTTTCAGACGGATTCTAAGCCGAAAACATGGAACAAAGTGGGCCGGTATCGAAGCTCGAAAATGCATTTTTTATTTCTATTGTTTTGCATGACGGAGGCCAAGCACACCGCTGGCTTTGAACCATGAACCTTGCCCTGCTGACACTTGCTGACGCTCGGCGCTTTGGGTCCTGATAATGAACAGCCCAAGAGAAATTGCCAAGACAACCATGACACAGACGCTTTGCCGCAGGAATACCATGCCACTCACCCACCCCAATTCTCCGCCCCCAAAACGAGAATCGAAATCTTGCCATGATGAAGACATGTGGACATCATATCATGTGACTCATTCGTGCAGATCTTGGAGGGCATCAGAATGACAAAGCTTACCCCGCGCCCGCGCTTTGCCAAGCTTTGCCTCACCGCAACGCACCACAAAGCATCCGCAGGCCGCACCACTCAGAACCACTCAGCATCACTCAGCAGCTTCCACCTGTTACTCGGTGGCCGACATGCTTCTTCCTGGCTCGCCATGGAGACTCCAGAGTTGGAAGAGCAAGCCTTCTCGCTCAGAGGGCGAAACTGGGCAGTGACAAGACATCGATTGAAAGGACCAGACATAGACGTTTCAAACACAGCCGAACACCACACGTCGCCGTCTATGACGGAGGCTCCCCGCGTTAGACTTGAAGGTCCGAGGTGAAGCCCCAAAAGCTCACCTCCAACACCTGGTACCTGCTGAGCTTCTGTAAGTGCTGGTTTATATACCCCTTTGAGCTTCTGTAAGTGCTGGTTTAGAAGCCCAAGACCGTCCTGGCACACTTCCTCAGTCTCCATTTCAGCCACCCAGTTCCGACCTGGCCTGGCAGGTCTATCGTTGGGTCACCATCATCTTTCAGATGTTTCTGACCCACTTCTGCTTTCGATCCGATGTCGTTCTCACCCTCATTCACCCCGACGTGCAACCCTTGGCATAGAAACCACGGTTTGCAAACCCGACCGCTTCCACGCAGCTCCTCCACGGAGCTCGCTCCGCTTCCACCGGGAACCGCTCCGCTTCGCTTCCCTCCGACCCTTTACCCGAGGCCTTGGATCTCTCCTTCGAGCGCTTCGCCGCCCGGAACGAGAACCCGCAGGGCCTGGGCTTCGAGCGCCTCAAGGCGAGGTTCGCGGGTGCAGCGAGGTTCGCGGGTCCGGACCTGAGGAGAGGTTGCTTTTTTTGGGGATGGGGAGAGTGAGGAGACCCAAGTCATTCTTGGAGACCTAGGACTTGCTGAGCCTGAAATCTGGGGAGAGACTCATGAGGTCATTCAGGAGTGCATGGGAGTTCATGGGACTTCATCCTGAAACGTTCGGTGCCAATTGGGTCCCTCATTGGCACTGTTGGGTTGGTAAATTTGTTGCGAGTGGCGAGTGGCTGGTCAGTCGTCTCCCTGCCTTGGTGAACGACCACCTTACTGACCGGTCATTACTGACCCAACATGTTTATCGGCGCCCTTGGAATTCCACGAGTGGCGTTGCGAACTGCGAAGGTGCTGCTGGTTTCTGGAGCATCTCTGACCACAGAGGACCTGGCGAAGGCGAGCGGTGGATTTGACGTCCGACCTTTTTTTGGGTCAGATGGCTTGTTTGAAGCGTGGATGGGGTGCCTAATTTATAGCACCTTAGAAGCCTTAGAAGTTAAGGGTGTCCAAAACCCACCGGGCAAAAGGAAGGTTGTGGTCCAAGTAATCCAACCTATGACCAACAAGTATTTTCTAGTCCTCCAGGTCCCCCCCCCGTGTTGGGTTTTGAGCCATACCGATTGTTGGATTGTTGGATCTCCTGGGAAAAAGAACGCGTTGGGACTGGCGCGAGCGCAAGGGTGCGGGGACGCGCAAGGGACGCCACGCTGCGGATCTGCCAGAAGTGAGGTCCTGACTGCGGCGCCATCCTTATGGAAGCTGGATGCCAGCCACTGTGGTGATGACCTTAGCTCACCGGAGGACCTTAGCCACTGTGGTCGCCGCAGCTCGCCACGGGTCCACGGCACTGTTTGGGAGGGAGATGGCTGGAGGGGTCAGCACTTGGTGTAGTTTGCCAAGCTCAGTTCCTTTCTTTTGGCATTCTAATCCTAATTGACCTGAACCAGGTGTCGGAATGGACCTCTCTTGGTATTCTTCAGTCATGTCACACTGTGGGTTAGTTCAGCCAGGACACCCCAAAAGTCACGGAGATGACCCATGACCGGCCATAGACCCATGACCGGGGTGTCCTAAAGACATTGTGGAGACCACGACTGAGGACTTTCGGCGTTGCCCGAGCTGGAGCTTTGCAAAAGGACACCGTGACGTGACTCCCTTGGCGTCCACGTCGCGTACGTCGTACGTCGTGCGATGCCGCATCGACTCGAAGCGCGTCACCACCAATCGGGGAAGCTGAAGGAGACCCGTGAAACGCTCAGGACCTGCGTTTCCGGGCAATGCCCTGGCGATTTGATGGACCAATCTTCAACAAGTTCTCAACCGGGAAAGCTCGAGCGCGAGAGAGGGTAGTGCTAGTGCTGTTGTTATACACGTCGTGGCACGAAGATGCACGTAGCACATTCTCGCTCGTGAGCGCATGGGTTGACTCTACTTTACAACCCATTGGAGTGAGACCACTTAGGATTTAGGATCCGTGATGCAACCTCGATGCAACCTCATATGTGACCTCATATGTGACTTCATACATATGTAACCCTAGTAGACCATCAGACTTCTCCCAAAATGGGAGCAGGATGGTGAACATCAAGACGCTTTTGCTGCACAAGAACCTCCTGGCCAAGTGGCCGGACGTGGAATGCGCCGCGTCGCCCCGGAACCTCGAATGGCTTTCCCTCTATGGGAATCCCATCACCAGTCAGCCCGAATACCAGGCGCCCAATCGTCGGTCCTGAGTCGTCGGTGGTGGTTACGGTGGTTACGGGCTGAACCCAAGAAAGGCCACCGAAGTGCCCTGCCTTGGGTTTCTTGGTTGATGTATCTTAAGAGCTATGTGATGCTATATGTATCAAGAGCTAGAAGTGCCTTCGTTTAGGAAGATCAAGAGCTATATGTTCGCATGCCAAAACTCGGTGCAAAGATGTGCAAGAGTTGATCCTTGGAGATCAGTTTTTCCTTCGTCCGGCGCCGATCATCCGTTCCTTTTGGAAGAGGCTTAGTTGATGGAGCCAATTTTGATGAGTTCAATCAGCAGTGGTTGATCCACCCATCCTGGCCAGACCATCCATCTTCCGAATGAAAGGATGTATTTGGTTTTCTATGAGATACTGTAATTTCTTGGACATGAACCTACAAGGGAACATTTGGTTGTCCTTCCCTGAGTTTCAAGCTTTTGCCTTCAACATCGAGGATTTTGCTTTCCATTTCTCTTTGACTCCAATCTGTGCATCGCGCATGATTAGCCCGCGCGATCGCCTGCAGACCCACGTGCTGAGCCTGGCAAGCTCACTGGTGGCCTTGGATTTGCGGGTGCTCACGGACGAGGAGCACCTGGCAGCACAACGCCCCTCCGAGAGCAGGCGCGGCGTGCCTTGATTCCTTGTCCGGCGCGATCGTGGGATCGTGGGCGGATGTGGGTGGCAGGAGGTGAAGAAAGCCAGAAAGCTTGGAACCATGTCATGTGACACCCCCAAGCAATCGTCACTCGGTTTTGGGTGGCGAAAGAGGATGGGATCCCAACAGCAAAAATGAGCGAGAACTACCTCCGGAGGCCTTGTCCCCTTCGTCGCTTTCCGGAACCTCGAACGGAACCTCCAGTACCTCAAACCTCTCTTGGCAAGAGCAAGAGTGTCCAATCGCTCATGCTGTCAAAGCTGTCATATTCACATTGGCTCCAATGCCTCCCACTTCTTTGCTACTTGTGTTTGTCCGTGACTACTTTGTGGACATAGACTTCAGTCATCTTCAGTCCCACACTCCGTCAACACCGAACGTGAGAAGTGCAGGAACTCAGTGTTCGAGTGGCCACATGTTGGTGTGATGTTGGGGTGGCCAAACCCCAAGCTCCCTGCAGTTTTTGGTTGAGCATTTAGAATCAGAGTTGGACCCAGCTCGTGCCTCAGCTGTTTTTGATCAACATATCCTCAGCTGTTTTTGGACACTGTTGCGCGCACATCGCTTTCGGAATCATGGATGCCGTTGCCGTTAAGCCACGCATGCAGCAGCCCGAGATGATGCCTACAACCCATGCCGAGCAGGCAACTTTTGTTTGTTTGGCTTCGATGCTGGCATTTGTGGCCATCCAGAGTCAAGATACAACTATGATGATGCTGATGTCAATCCTCGTGATGGTTTCCTTTCTATTCAAATCATACCTTGGTGACCGGAGGTTCTCAGGGATGATGAACCAGATGCACGCGTATCAAATGGAGTCTGTGCGGGTGAGCCTAGAGAGACAGGCTCCACATGGAGATGGAGACAAAGAAGCAGGCGTTTGAGATAAAGAAGAAGGAGATTGAGAAAGAAAGAGAGAGGCAGGAGAGGGACGCTCAAAATCTCAGAGAGAAGGAGGAGAGGGACGCTCAACTTCAGACTTTGAAGCTTGAGACGGAGAGGGACAGAGCGGAGATGCAGATGAAGATGGCGATACCGGAGCCGGAGCGTAGGGACCGAAAGCCAGAGCAGTCGTGTGTAGTCTGCTAATTGCATCTTTGGAAGGCCAAACAACTCGTGACATGCAATTGGAATGTCTCGTACGTAGTACGTATCAAGTTTTTGAGAACAGCAGGGGCACAAGTCTCACGCTTGCCAAAGAAGTACACGGTGCACGAAAAAAGAACAGCAGTCCAAAGCAGGAAGATGAGTTGATTTAAGAGCACACCCACGATTGGAGAGGAACTTGTTCTTGGTATGGGTCCCACGGGCATAGGTATCAAAAAAATAATAAAAAAAACATCAAAAAAATAAAAACAGGATCAAAAAAAAATAAAAACAGGATCAAAAAATAAATATTCCTTGATAGGCCTCTTCTGCTGCTCTCCTGGCCTTGTGGTCTGCGGGTCCTCTGGTAATGTGGTCCCTTGGTCCATTGGTCCTCTGGTCCACTGGTCCTTTGGTCCCCTGGTCCCTTGGTCCTTCAGTCCACTGGTCCGCTAGTCCTCCGGTCTCCTGGTCCTCTGGTCCTGTGCTGCTGCTGCTACTGCTACTGCTACGCTGGTGGTGGTGCTGCTGCTGCTGCTGCTGCTGCTACTGCTACTGCTACTGCTACTACTACTACTACTACTACTACCCCAACCATCCTCAGTGGGCTAGAATATTTTTTTTGATTCCCTTTTTATTTTTTTATTGATCCCCGTTGAATATTTGTTTTTTGATTATTTTTTAATTTCTTTTTTGATCCCTTACCCCGCTACGAGGGTGTCATGAGAGGCGTGGTATTTTTTGGTCGTGCTTCGTGAAAACACGGGGCTCATGGCGGGGGTGGGGGGGTGCGGGGGCAATGACGTCGAATTCCATTCGTTCGTTCACTTGAAGATAACTTTGTACTTGCTTTACTTTAAGATAACTTCGTAACTTCGTTTGCTTTACAGCGTCGGTGCTCCTGCGTGGCCTGCTGAGACACAGGAAGCTCACAATAAACTAAAGACCCTGCGGGTGAAACATGTGAAGCAACAGTTCACGAAGAAACTCAAAAGAAGCCAACGCCCACGTGGTCGAAGATAGGTGGAACGCAACTGGCTGACAGCTCATGAAAGAGCTTGAAAGCTTGGATACCCAAGCATGTGAATACAACCTTTGCAAGGAGTCGAGCTGTCAATCCGGAACTTTTGAACTATTTTCGAGAAGCGGGTCGAAGTGAGCAGGAAAAGGCAGCGCCGCAAACGCCTAAATATCAAAAACTTTTCCGAAAGCGCTGTTCCGCCTGCAAATTGAATACATTTGGCAAAAAGACACTTTTGCTGGAAAACGAACAAAGCGCAAAAACGATGACCCTCATGAGACTTTGCGTAAACCAACCATGCAAACTAGCGCGACGCCTTCGCGACGTCCATCCCTTGTTCGTCCTTACCACAGCTGTATTCTTTTTGGTATGACATATTGTATATAACAGATGTTGCCCGGTCACTCCCAGAATTGGTTTCAGGAATCATCTACAGGACACCCATCGTTTTGGGGGGTTCCGGTAGACTTTCCCATGAGTAATCTAGACATGGCACCCTGCATTGGACTGCACGTACAGTTGGCATGTGTGACCGAAATAGTGGCTCAAGTGATTCGTGAGAGCAAAATAGTGCAACCTTTCTTTTTGTCATGGTAGCGTCCACTGGGGGCGGATGCTGTCATGGCTCACGACGGTGCTCACCATAGGTGGTACCATGGTGGCAGGGTCCGCCATGGCGGAGAACCACCTGGATGGAAATGTCACAGGAAGCCCAGACCTGTGGACATGGCACTCAAATTACACGCCACGTCGAATGGCCTGCGAAAAGGAAAAAAGTGAACGTGGGCGATCGCGGCAGTTTCGACCGTGGTCTTGGAGTGAAATGAAGAGACAGGCCTTGGATCAAGGCAGTTGAGTACGTGGTCTTGGATGGAGAGTGAAGTGTCAGCCTGGAAGAGCAGTGTGAGTCATGAAGCGAGAGCAATGAGCCCTATGTTCATGGCATTCCTGAAGAACGAATGAGGCCGGTGGCAATGGACTATCTGATGAACAATAAGGACAAGCAGATCATCACCATTGCCAAGGATATGTGTCTAGCATTCTTGAGGAGGTCTTTGACCAGAATCTGGATGAGAGAATCCGGATATGTGCCTGGCATTCATGAACAAGTGCTATGATGGGGTGACATCGATCCTGGCAGTTTCGAACAGGATCTTGGCCTTGATGGACTTGGCAACGTACAAGTTCAGGTGCATGGCAACGGAATGGAACGTCCTCGTGATGAAATCGGTGCTTGCAAGGGCTATGGCAGAAGTCTTGGAGAATGTGACGGTTGGTGAATTGTGGATTTGGTGGCTGGTGGCATTGCTGCTGGCTATGATAGTGACCGACTTGAGCTTGACCCCTACCTCATCGAAAAGGACATTGAGGAAGAGGCAGAGTTTGAAACGATACAACAGGTGAGGTTCTTTTCTGCTCAGTTTAGTTGGAGCCAGAGCCATGGAGGAATACATGCTTGACCAGATGAGCAAGCTAGCGGAGGCAGCAGAGAATCCAACGCAGTCCAATTCATGGAAATTCAACTTTGTCAGTTGGCTGAGCTTTGGTGAACCGAAGTATCAACCGATGCTGGAACACATCGAGAAGCTGGACAAGGACCCTGACATGAGCGCCTACTCCACGGAGGAGAAAGAGTTCAGCGTTCGACTCTTGAGCATTTTGGCGAGCTATCTCAAGGGTAAGTGCATGAGTCTCGTCAAGTCCTACAACAATGAGCGTGATGGTTTCAAACTTTGGCGTTTCCATCAGGAATACCTTCCCAATACCCGAGGCAGGAGTGTGGCATTGGTGCAAGCTCTTTCTTCATATCCCTCGTTTGCAAAGGACAAGACCGCCATGGAGAACATTCTCGTTTGTGAGCATGTTGTGAAGAGTTGGAGACGATTTCGCCCAGCAAATATCCTGATGAGTTGAAGACAGCAACGCGGTCAGGTGCTGTGATGCTAAACTACGTGAGCACTTGCAGGTGACCATTAGCGACAAGAAGATCAAACAGAGCATTCTTGGCTATGATCAAGCCACGAAGACTTGGACCAGTGAGCAAGTGATCAAGTCCTTAGAGGTGAAGCCTCATGATCCGAATGGACCAGCCAATGGAAGTGGATTCAGTCAACCGGATTGAAGATCGCAAAGGTAAGGGTAAAGGAAAGTAAAAAGGAAAGCGCAAGGGCAAACATGGTGGCTGGATTCCGTGGCAACCCCATGGTCGTGGAAAAAGAGGATTGAAAGGCAAGGGTAAAGGTAAAAGCAAAGCCAAGAATAAAGGCAAGCAGAAGGGCAAAGGAAAGAACAAAGGAAAGCAAGGCAAAGGTAAGGACCTTGATCCACAACGGTGCAAAATATGCCATGGTTATGGACATTGGTCGAACGAATGCCCACAGAAGGTCAATCAAGTTCAAAAACAAGCTTCAGTTGGGTCAGTAGCGCCCTCGCGATCTATTCCCTCCTCAGGTGTGTCAGCTACAACCTCAACGGGAGTCAAAAGAATCTTTCACGCATCGCATCATCTTCCTCTTCGAGTGGATGTGTCAGGATGATAAGCGAGAGGTTGAAGGTGGTACCTCAACATACCACCTATAAGGCTGACAATGTAGTGATCTTGGATCTAGGATCTGATGTTTCCCTTTTACCTTTGGCATTTGGAGAACATGTTGATGAACCTACACTTACAAGATTGCCAAGGTGGACGATTGGCAGTGCATGGCGCAAGGAAAGCGTCATTGATTGTGACAGATCGTGATGGGACCGAAGCAGAGTTGGAACACAAGTTCGCGATTGGGGATGTGAAAAACTTGTATCCTCAGTCTTGGTGAGCTCTACAGAAATGGTTGGCAGATCCGCAATGATGGCAATGATATG